CAAATAGCTGGTACACTTAGCAGGAAAACCTGAAGGTCTGCGGGATAGGGCAGGGTCACAGGCTGAAGGGAAACTGGCCTTTTAACTTACCCGTGTGTGAAGGCTGGAGAGGAGAGAAGATGCTGAATGTTTCTGCCACCTCAAAGGCTCCCAGCCAATTGAGTACAAAGAAGAGTTCAAAGGCAAGGCAGGCTCCTGACTTCCACCTCCTAGTGTGGCTGAGGGGAGAGGTCACTGCTGGTGGAGCCACTGACCAATAAAAGAATGTTTGGAAACTCTGCTCAACAGATAAACTGGGGATCCACTTACACCTCCCTCCCACCTCACAGACATTCCTAACTATACAGCCCGAGTCCCTCCAGCCTGCCAAGACCCTCGCTTGTCTGCCTTTTCTGGCAGATCAAGGGGCCTGGGATAAGTACGTGCCATTTGACTACAGAGAAATGTTTATTTGCACACCTCCTCCTGCCTTCCAGAGTAAGAAAGTGCCTCATCCTAAGCCTGCTCAGATGCTACTTCCAGTCCATCTGTCCTGATGTTAGCTGACTCCTCCTCCCACTTCAGCCCCTGACATGCTGCAGAAAGCTCATGTCATCCTGTCAACCTTCTCTGAGCGCGTACCGTATCTTCCAGATGACTAGTCCTCATTGTGGGTGGAATACAGATTCCTTACCATCATCCATACTCCCCATGAAAACAACACCTAGGCCTTCAAAAAATCAATTGGCTAGGCTAGCCAGTTAGCTCATAAAGGGCAACCAATAATTCAGCTTCACATTGTTATAACTACTATCCTCTAATGATTTAAGGAACTGTTTAACTCACCCCAAAACCCTCGTGAGCCCCCCAAGGCTGTCCAGTGCCTGTGTGTGGACACTGCTGGCTGGTGGCCTGCAGGAGTGTTTGCCAGACACACTCTTCTCTGTTGCCCTTTCCTCCAAACCTGCTCACCTAACTACAGCACTCACTGAGCTCACAGCTCCAGCCTCACGTTTAACCTCAGGGAGCTGCACAACCACAGCTAAGGTCAAGAGGAAATTTAACTCTTTTCCTTGTCAGGAAGAATGTTCTTCTCCCTTAACAACCGAACTCCCCAGCTCAGTAAGGACCTGGGCCATGTATCCACCAGGCGACTGCAGCCTTTCTGACCCCAAACTTGAAGGTGCAGACTGTTGCTGCAACACCTTTCTCACCAAGATCCCACCCCACAATTCTGGATCAATTCAGAAACTCATTCTCTCTCTCATCCAGGGAGCACAAACCCCTAAGCTGAGCACTGTTTCTTCTTCACTGAGCAGCAAAGAGGTTGACACTCCTATGAAGAATAGCAGCTCAGGGCATTTGGGACTTCTTGGAAAGAGTCACCTAAAAGTGGATGGAGACCTCTGCTGGTGACAGCTGTCCATGCAGCTCCCTTAGGGCCTGCTTCCTCAGCCTCAGTTCATTCTGGCAATCACCTAGGAGCATTAAGCTATCAGCCTCAGGTGCCCCAAAAGGTTCATGCCTGTCTTACAAGACGGCCCAAATCTGTCCTTCCTTAAGAGAACTCACTAAGATGCAGCAGTTTTTCAGAATCAGGTGGAGACTATTTTTTTACTTACTCCTGCCAAGGTCAAGTTAAACAGATGGAAGGAAAACAGAAGGCAAAATGACAAGCATAGTTTAGAAACAGCATATTTTGTTACAGAACAAAAAGAACCTTCACTCTCTTTGCTGTAGTCCCCTAAAGGTCCGTAGGGAAAGTTCTCAGGGCAGGCAGCACGGGAGATGCTGCGGAGCCTCATGGGAGGGAAATCACTGGGAGTGTGCCCTCAAAGGGGCTCACAGACTCTGACCCATCCTCTCTTTCTCTGCTTCCTGACTAGTGGAGTGACCACTCACTCCAAGTGCTTCTGCCATTGCCATCTACTGCCCTCATCAGAGGCCACACCAGGGGGCTGCCAGATCTTGGATCTGAACCTCCAAACCGTGAGCTAAATAAGCCCTTTCTCTTGATAAGTTAATTGCTCAGGCACTCCACTGCAGTGACACAAAGCTGACTAACGCACTCTCTGATCTTACAGATGACACATTATCGATAGTATAGTGGTTTTTCAATTAAAGGAATTTTGTTCCCCTCACCCCAAGAGGGACTTCTGGCAATGTCTAGAGACATTTTTAGCTGTCACAGCTTGGGAGAGGGGAAGATGTTATTGGTATCTAGAAGCACTTGAACCCAGTCATCCTTGATACCTAACTGGGAATTACTTCAACCAGATCATCTCACAGCTAGCTGCTATCACTGTAGTCTAGGAATGTAGGGTTGGAAGGGTTCACAGAATACCAGAGAAAGGGAAGCAAACCAACAGGGCACCAATAGAGAACTGTGGACAGTCAGATAGCAGCACCAGGAAAGAGGGCCCAGGAAGCCCTCCTGTGTAACATGGCATAACTCAGGGTGTCCGCCACCAGAGAAGTAACTACCCCTTGTTAACAGACGTGTTTGGGGGAGAAGAGATGACTACTGAGCTGTTCATTGTCAGGGAGAGCAACAGTCTTGCTGGGACAGGAGTTTCGTGGAGTTCTTAAATAGCTCCAAGGAACATGAGGGATAATTTAGCCAAGCCCTTCATTTCATAAATAAGAAAATGAGAGCCTAGCAGCATGGGTGACTTACCATGGTCATGCAATTAATAGGGACAGAGCCCAAGTCCTCTGACTCCAAGTGTGTCTCTTGGAACCCACAGAGCGTACAGCACCCTGTTTTTAATGATTGCATTCATTCCATCTCAACAGTTCATGACTCTGAGCCCACCACTGAAATGACTGGGGGCTGGCCTCAGGCCCCTAGTTCCTGCAGAACAACTGTATTCAGTGAGCTGGTCTGAAAATCAATGACTCTTTCTCAACCAGAAGGACTGGTAGGGTGGTGGGGAAGAGAGGTAAGTGTATAGGAACTGCTCAATTTTACCTCCCCAGTTTCTTCTTATGGAATATGATTTAGCATGTGATTCTATAATTAGTTTTGTTCATAAATACAGATGCCACAAAACGTAACACAAGGAGTACAAATACCTGATGCTTCTCCTCTACATCAGTTTTAAGAACCACAGGTTCAGAATAAAAATCTAGAGATCTCAAAAGTGATTTTATAATCCTAATGAGGTCAGTAGTAATTAAGCAACAGGGGGAAGCCCAAAAACTTAAAGTAAACATGAGCACACTGTGACACAGCCAGGAGGGAAGCTCATCAACTTCTGATTTGTTTTCCAATCCAATCATGCCAACATGTAGGCTGCGCACAGTGGCATCACCAGTAATCCAAGAGGCTTAGGAGGCTGAGGCAGGAGGACTGAGAGTTCAAACCAGCCTCAGCACCTTAGTAAGGCCCTAAGCAACTCAGTGAGATCCTACGTCTACATAAAATATAAAATAGGTCTGGGGATGTGGCTCAATGCCCAAGTGTCTTCTCTGAGTTCAATCCTTGGTACAAAAAAAAAAAAAAAAAAAAAAGCCAAAATGTTTCACAGATGAGGTTTCTGAGGCTCAGAGTAGGTAGATCCTTGCCCAAGAGCACACAGCGTGCATCCAGCAGAGCTGGCATTCAACACAGACAATCTAAGAACCTACAGACTTAATTGCTGTGTGATAGGAAGTTTGGTATTTCTGTACTTTGGATAATGTCCCAGGGCCCGTGTATAGAGGGCTCAACTCCCAGATGGTGGTACTAGGGGTGGTGGGACCTTTAAGAGGCAGATCCTAGTGAGAGGTCTCCAGGTTGTTGGGTGTACTATAAAAGGGACCTGGTCCCTTCCCCACCACCCTCCCTCTCCGCACCTCCGGCTTCCCAGCCATCAAATGAGCGGATTTGTTCCACTACATTCTCCCTCCATGCTGTGTGGCCCTATGTAAAAGAATGGGAGATGAGACCAAAGCAACAAGAGTGGGAGCTGAGGGAGGGAGGAGTGGTCACCAATACCCAGGCCCAGGGGGGCAGGGGAGCCTGCCAACAGTGCAGCACCGTAACCCAGAGCCTCCTCAGGGCACAGCAGGTGACTGTCCCCCTCACTCAGAAAGAAGCCTGAGGCCCCTTTTCTGGCCAGGGTAACTGCAGGCACCCAAGGGAGTGGAGCCAAGCTGAACAAGGGGATGGGGGAGCCAAGCTGAACCCAAGGATGCGTACCCAGAGCACTCCGGGTTCTTGCCCTGCCCATCTCCTGCAGAGATGTGACAACAATAAAAAGGTTTTAAAAATCTATTTTTAAAAAAGGAAACAGAGCTGGGGCTGTAGCTCAGTGGTACAGCGCCGGCCTCGCACATGTGAGGCACTGGGTTCGATCCTCAGCACCACATAAAAATAAATAAAGATATAAAACAAATTAGATGATTTTTTTAAAAAAAAAAAAAAGGAAACAGAAAAAAACAAATATATTACCAATTTGAGAATAGACTTTTAAATTTCTAATCCCAGTGAGATTTACTCCAAGAGAAGGAAAGACCAGGAGGACTCACCGGGCAGCCCAGAGGAATCCTTGAGGCAGTCAGAGCCGCCCAAGGAAAAGTCTGGAGAGAAAGGCGGAGAAGGGTGAATGCTCCACCAGGCAGGAGGGAGCGTTGTCACCAAGGCCGCTGACCCAGGAAGCGAGGTCGTGTACACAGCACCACCGTCACGTCACAGCCACGCAGAAGCACTGGCGGCCAGACTCCCTGTCTCAGTCATGAGCAGCATCACCTGCTGTGACTGTGAACCTTCTTCCCGCAGGCTTCGACTTGGCGTCCCTGAACCACAACAGGCTTCCCCTAGTGAAGCCTGAACATCCCAGACAGTTACCATTTTGAACCTTACTTGACGCAACTCGCCCGGCCCTGCTCTCCTATCATTTACGTTTGGTGAGCTGACACAGGGAAGAGACAAACCCCACTCTGGCATTTGACTGCTGTCCCTGTGTCCAAGAACCGCGTCCAGCATGTCATCCCCACCCTGCCACCTCCCCACGGGGCTGTTGGCCTTGGCCTCTCACCTGTCTCTGCATTTCCTCAATCTGTCTTTGTGGGATGCTCTGCAGAATGCTGTACACGGCTGACATCTTTTCTTCGGGAACCACCACAGACGCTCTGGACACAACAGAGAAGCAGTGTGCACACATCACCCTCCACAGAAAGCTCTCTTACAGAAAGTCTTGTTTCATTCGTATGAGCAGAAACAACACCCGAGCCTGCTTCAGCCACATCCGGACAGGGAGGTCCTCTCCCCATCCCTCCTCCTGACCAGCCTTCTCCGGGGAGCTCTCAGCAGCTCTCATTCCTCCCTCCACCCCACCGTGGGCCCTGGTCACACTGGTATTCTCTCAGTCACTTCACACCACACTCTGCCCTACCATGGGGCTTGTGCATGTGAATCCCACCTCCCAGGCACACTACTTTCCACTCTCCTTTGTGCTCCCTGCATTAACTGTATTGCCTTCCCCCTTAAGCTGTCTATGAAAATCCACTCACTTATTCAGCATTTATTTATAGAGGACCTACTGTGTGCTGGACACTGGGAACACAACGGGACAAATCAGTCAAGGAAGGAGAGGTGGTAAGCAGGTCACGGGAATGCCAAGGGAAGAATGCTCCAGGCAGGACTAAGCAGGAAGCAGCACGTCAGTTATGTTCCCAGAACAGCAAACAAGCAAGCTGCTACGGCCGGAGCAGAGTAAACAGGATGGAGAACACCAGGAGCCAAGGAGAGACGAGAGGGAGGTCACAGCAAAGCAAATAAGGACAGGGTACTGTCAAATGGAAACCACCAGGAGGTGTTAAGCAAAGGCCTGGCAAGTGTGATTATGCTCCCACAGGACTGTGCGGTCCACGGTGTCAGAACAAACTACAGGAAGCAAGCTCAGGAGCAGGGAGACCTCCAGGACCCCTGCAGAAGCTGGCAAGGTATGCGGACAGGGGAGAGCTGGTGAGAAGGGCGGGGCCGTGCTCACAGAACAGTCACGGTGACAGGGGAAGGGAGGACTCCACGACCGCCTGCAGGACATTGAGTAGAGTTATGCTTGTGTAAATTAATTAAAATCTAACCCATTTCTGCTCACTGGGCTAGTCCATGAGGAGGGAAGCTGCCTGCTCCACTCACCAGCATGGCCCAAGCACCTGGCAGGTTGCCTAGCAGTAACCGTGTGATAAGCATTTATTAAACATGTCAACCATTTCTACTATACAGATGGGACAACTGAGGCTCAAAAAAGAGTAAACAATTTACCACAGTCACATGCTAGCCAGTAACAGAGCCGGTTATCTAACTTAAACCTGGGCCTTTCCACCACTTATCCATAATCACAACTACCCAAGCAGGTCTATTCTCATAGAAATGGGCATTCATGCCCAGCTCAAATCACCAACTCTAAGAAACCCTCACTGACCCACCAACAACAATGGCTACCTCCTTTTCACTTTTCTAGCATCCCGTCCTACCAGGGCTATGTCATGTCACAGTTTTGGTAATTGCTGGCATAGTTGTTTGTCTTCCACTACTAAAAACCATGAGCTTCTGGGAGCAAAGGTTTGACCTTGCACATTCTGGTATCTGTGTTCCTAACAATGCCTGGCAAATAAAAGGTGCTCAATAAATGTTTTCATAGGCAGTTAAATGCTAGAAGTAGCTCATCGCTTCTCTACAATACAGCGAATAACCTCATATTCTTCCCTTTTCTGCGTTTTCACAGCCCCTGTGAGTACATCTGCCATGGCATTCATCACAGAAAGCTGGGCAGGTTGCGCATCCCTCATACAAAAGTCCAAAATCCAAAATGCTCCAAAATCTGAAAACTCTGGAGTGCCAACATGATGCCACAAGTAGAAAATTCCACACTGTGAAACTGTTTCATGCACAAAATCATGTATGACATTTCCTTCAGGCCATAAGGTAGATTATAAAACATCAGTGAGCCAGGTGCAGTGGAGCACACCTGTGATCCCAGCAGCTCGGGAGGCTGAGGCAGGAGGATGGAAAGTTCAAAGCTACCCTCAGCAAAAAAGCAAGGTGCTAAGCAACTCAGTGAGCCCCTGTCTCTAAATCAAATACAAAATAGGGCTGGGGATGGGGCTCGGTGATCAAGTGCCCCTGAGTTCAATCCCCCATACCAAAACAAACAAACAAAAAACTCAATGAATTTCATGTTTAGATCTGGGTCTCTTCCCCAAGATATCTTGTTATGTGTATGCCAATGTACTAAAACCTAAAACACTTCGGGTGCCTAGCATTTTGGATAAGGAATGTTCAAGGGATATTCAACCTTAATCAATGGTTTGTCTTCCCACCCCACCCCACCCCCAGGTCCTTGTCTCCTCAGAAGCAGAAACTGTGTTATTCACAATAGGCTTTCAATAAATATGGGATGAATAACTAAACGAATGAAACAGTGCTATTTAAATTGTTCAAATACCTGTGGAGATCAGACTTGGATAAATATCAAAAAAGCCATGAGATAAAGACAGCAGTCAAGCATCTGAGGCAAGGGCAGGACTGAGAGGGACACAACTAAGGAATCAGTTTGCAACACAAACCACCAAAGTCTCAGGGAAATAAAGCTGAGAACAGTGGGCAAGACCAGGAACAGCACAAGGCAGGATCCCGGTTGTACTTATCCCTGGCGATGTTTCTAAGTATACCCCCAGGCAGAGGCTCTCCAATACCAGCCAGATCATTGTACAAATTCAACAGAAAATCTGTAGCCATGGCAGTCTGTGGAGGCTACAAATCAGGTTAAGGGTGGTTTTAAAATTCAGAATCCCCAAGGATAGGGCCAGAAGTGGTGGCACACACCTATAATCCCAGTGACTTGGGAGGCAGGCTGAGGCTAGAGAATCACAAGTTTGAGGCCTTCCTGGGCAACTTAGCAAGACCCTATCTCAAATAGGGAGGATGTAGTTCATGGAAGAGAGATTGCTTAGCATGCATAAGGTCCTGGGCTCAACCCCTAGTGCCATAAAATAACAACAACAACTCCTCCTCCTCTCAGGTGAGCCTACTCCCCTATCAGCTGAAAACTACTGCTCTTGGCTAGGAGCTGGGAACTGCTTTGTGGAAAAGGCCAAATAGTAAATATTTCAAGTTTGGTAAGCTGCAGTCTCTGTGCAATCACTCAAGTAACATGACAATAGTTTCAATCAAATTTTACTTACAGAAATAGCTATCCTGCAAATTTGGGCCAGAGGCCTCAATCTATGAACTGCTCTAAGCCAATGTGCTAAGTCTCCAGATGGAAAATACAACAGAACAGGACCAAAGGAATACAGGTGGGCCATCCCTTATTCAAAAAGCTAGACCAGGTGCTTAAGATTTTGAATGTTTTCAGATTTTAGAATATTTGCATACACAATGAGACATCTTGGGGACAGGACCCATGACTGAACAAGAAATTCATTTAGGCCTCATATACAACCTACATGCGTGAACTGAAGGTAACTGCACAGTACACCTGCATTTTGACTGGGACCTATCATATGAGGTGGAATTTTCCACTGGTGGCATCATGACAGTGCTCAGAAAATTTCCAATTTTGGAGCATATCTGATTTTGCATTTTCAGATTACGGATGCTCACCCTGTCGTTCTCCAGCCTAGGTACGCATTACAGTCACCAAGGGGCTGTTGATTTCTACTGCTTGCAGACCCACCAGCTAAAGTTGACGAGACGGGAATACCCACCTCTTCCAGTCCAGAACTTCAGAGAAAGGCAGAACATAGGAGTCGGCAATGATTACGGGGACACAGCCAGCCTGCAGCACGTCACTCAACACAGCCTGGCCCAGCCGAGCACCACGAAGGACCACACAGAAAGTAGCCTCCTGCAAGAGCACAAGCAGAGGGTAGGGATTACCAACCAGCCTTGCCATCCCTCGGACCATGAGCCCCTTCAAGGCGTAAAACCAAGCGACACCGAGGCACCTAGATTCAGAAAAGACCAAGATCATAGTTCACACACATCAAACACTGACAAGCTTAAGTGGCTGTGAGCCTTCATGTTGCTACTCTTCAGTGTCATTTAAATGACGTCTGAACTGGTGTTCTGCACGGGTTCAAAGCCAACCAAGTCTTCCTCGGCACAGGCCACCTCATGGGCTCCTGCAGCCTAGCCTCCCTTAGCACTGGTGGACTGCGTGAGCACGCCAGGGCCACTGCTGACACCGCTTACAGCGCTTACCACACCCCCATTGCCGGGGAACACAGGGCCCTCTAGAGGAGCCCCTAAAGGGAGAGATCAAATCGCCACTCATCTTCCTACTCCCGGGGCTTTTAGCAGTGTCTGCACGCAGAAGACATTCAATTAGGAATGCAATGCCTTTGAAAAGACATGAAGACAGACACGTTTAGTCTAGAAACAATGAACCCAATGAAAGAAAGATGTCAAAAAAAAAAAAAAAATCTCTTCTTCACTCCCTCCATTAAATGCCTCCCCACATGTGGGAGTGCTTGTGAAAATGAGAGAGGAACAGAGGAAAGACAGCTGGGGACCATAATAAGGGACGATTCCTTCCCGAACACTCAGTTTCTCCCAGGTTGTACCTCTTCAGAGAAAAAAAAATGTTGAAAAGTAAAACATCATCTAATCTCTAGAGAAAAGGAAAGTTCAGAAATGAAAGAAGGGAAGAAACTCAAAATCCCAAAACCCCCTGGGGAGAGAGGGATGGAGCAAGACCGCAGCACCTGGAGCTGCAGGTGGAAGGCTTGCCGCCCAAGGGGCGCCCACATGTGGACACAAGTGTGATAACCACTTCTCCTGTCTAGATAGGGTTACTAAACTACTCCTGCTCACATCACCACTGTTATCAGTCAGACATTCCAGAGGAAGAGCCACGTTTCTTGAAAGAAAGTATTTTAACAATCTCAGCATGGGCCCGCTCTCAGGAGATTTAAAAAAAAAAAAAAAAAAATCACACTAGCTCCTTGATATTTCTCCTGAACAATTCTGAATTTTGAATATTTACATGAACGAGGCTCATATTCTCCTTCCCCAGCCCCCGTGCCCTTGGATGCTAAACACCTCTAAGACACCCCTAAAGGGATGGTTTGCCTTTGTCTGTGGAGGTACACACAATTGAAGTAAACACCAAAACCAAAATGAAAACAACCCCAAAAACCCTGCACTCCCAGGGAAAGCTGACTGCAGTCTTGTGGGCTAGCAGGGCCGGCAAAGCAAGTTGCCACCTTAAAGAAGGATGTCTCTAGATGGCCCAGGAGCACAGAGGTAAGAGCAAACGCACCTGCCTGCTTTGTCCATGTGGCTTCCTGTACATCTACCAGATCTATACTGGTGAAATACAGTGAGTATCTGAAAGGAGCCTGAACTCTCACAGACCAAGCTTCCTATGAACACAGTAAACCAGACACCCCGGCACCTGGAGGTCTAAGTTCATGGCAAAGAGCAATACTCCATTTTCTTCTCCCTTTGGGTAATGTTCCTAGTTGCATGTGGAAAACAAACAACTTCTGTTTGCTAGGATCAGCTGCAGCCCCGGGAAGTGACCTCTCCTGAGCCCAACAGAGGTCATGAATGACACTCACCTGCAGCACCTGCGGGTAATCGAAGACCTGGTGCTTGTGGCAGCGCTTTCGGACAGAAAGGGCGCCCTCTGAGAGGTTGCTGCACTTATCCAGCACCAACACCGACCCTCCATGTTTGGCCTGCAGAGCATCTAGGTCCTCTCTGTACTCGGGATGGACAGCCATCTGAGAGGACAGGAGGAAGTATCGCCGAGGACTACAAAGAGAAGAGAAGGTGACTGGAAACCTGCAGTTGGCATGTCAGTCAAGGTTAAACAAACTTTGATATTCAACTCACAGCAACAAGTGCTGGCTTACCAGTCTTGATATCCACTGATTTTTGTCTTTTGGAAATTATACTCTGTGGCATTACTGAATATTTAAAATATTACATACTGGAAGAAGATAAGGTATTATTTGTTCACATTCTGAAATAGTATGTAATCATAAAAGTTTTACTTGGGAAAGTTCTCAGTGCGGTAAGGAAGTGCTCATTATATGCCAAGCCTAGACAGCACTCTATGAGTACATGCCTGGAACCCATGCTATGAATACATTTGTGTGCAGAGACACAGAAGCTGACTGACTGGTTATTTGGAAAGAACATCAAAATGTTATCATTAGTTAAATCTGACTCTCGACTCTGAAAAGAAACTGAGAGTTGGCTGCATTCTTCAAACAGGGAGGCGGGGGATTCTACTCTATGGGTAGCACAGTGGAACGGCATCCCTACACCAGGCAGAGGCTCCAAGGAAAGAATCCCCAATGTCAAAGCCACAAGGACAGTAATGGAAGTTGAAAATTAGAAGCAGAAAAATCTATATTCCCAAAGCATGGGTGTCCAATGATGCTTAATAGAATATGGAGGGCAAAAAGGATTTCTAAGAGTCTAATGCTATGTAGATCTTCATAAGAGACAAAAATATGAACATAAAAGCCAGGCACAGTGGCACACAACTGTTGTTCCAGCTAGTCAGGACGCTGAGTTAGGAAGATCACTTGAAACCAGGAGCTCAAGGCCAGCCTGGGCAAAAGGTAGGACTGAACCTCAAATAAATAAATAACAGTGAACACAAAGTAAGTTAGTAAGTCTGAAGTCAAGGGAAAGATTTTGGGGAGAAGATGGAAAGTAATTACTTCCTGGAAGGTAGGTGGGCAGCCCAGACAGTGCCAAAGTCCAGGGCATGAAGGGGAACTACCAGAAATCACCACCAAAGAGAAGGCACGTATACAGCAGGTCCAGGAAGAAATGAAACACCACGGGACCCGCAAACAGCATCGCTTACATCTAGTCCAAACGGCTCAGGCCCAGAGAAACACCAGGGCTCTACGTGTCATGGGCAGCACCATCAGGCAAGCCGGGATGACACCATGCTTCAGGAAGAACCAAAAGCCTGTGGGTTGTGAACTCATCTCCATTTTGCTTGCTTGCTTTTCTCCCCTTAATTTCTTATATTTATTTGTAGCCTCCAGCTGAGGAGAGCCTTACCATAGAAACCCACAGCCAAAGAAGAGACCCTCTCCAGCTGAGGAGGTCAGTTTCCTTCCTAGAGCATGAAACTCCAGGGCAGGGGGCACCAAGCAATAGGTAAGGAAGGTGAACACCTGCCAACCAGGCAGAGCCACTAAATAAGCCCAGAGAGGGGCACGGCATCCTCCACAGCCAGCTCTGTGACCACGCCCCCCCCCAGACTCTCTCTTTTGGCAATTTCTTTGTTTAGCTGAACTAAGAGCAAAAGGGCATTTCCCACATTACAGTTAGGACAGAACAGGGCCAGCAGATTTGCTAGAACTTCACTGTCTAGGAGAAATCAGCTATAGGCAGCCACTTAGGCTTAATGAAAATTAAATAAAATTTAAAATCCAGTTCCTCAGGCACTCTAGCTGTATTTCCAGTGCTTGATAGCCATGTGTGGCTGGTGGCGAACTGAAAACACAAATGCAGGCCATCTTTCTTCGCAGAAAGTTGTACTTGACAGAGCTGTCCTAGGTGGGCTGAGATCCAGAGGTTAGAGGATAAGGTGGAGAGAAGAAAGCTCTGGAAGGCTCATCAGGGAGACAGCTTGTGTTAGATGTACAGACTGGTCCCTTTTCTGCATGGCAGGGATGGTGAAGGAGACAGCGCACCTGGAATGTTGAAGCCAGAGTGAGGCGAGAGCTTCTACTTACTGGAGACCAGTGCATGGCCTGGCACAGGGCATCAGAGCCCAAGAAGGGAGAGCAGGCCTTCTGCACTGGGGACTGGCAATGGGGTAGCTGTGGTGGCCACCCAGCAAGGGATGTGGTTAGGAGGGCAGGTGGGCAGCCCAGATAGTGCCAAAGCCTGGGCAGGCTGCAAAAGTGCCCAGGTGGCAGAAGGATGACAGCAATGGTAGCATCACTCCAGAGGTAGAACTGAGAAGCATGAGGAAGGTGGACCGGGGTGGGGGGACAGCAGTGAAGTGCAGCACGGGAGAGTCTGGGCAGGTGAGGAGGACTTGTGTAGCGTGGGGCGGTGGCAGCAACACCTGATTATGTACAAACATGGAAAGACATGGAAAGGTCCATCAGTCCCCATAAAGACACTGAGGATGACGGGAGCCGGAGAAGGGTACAACCAATATGCAAACAGAGAAGACCAGAAGGCCTTGCAGTGCTGGACAGAACTGGTGGTACCGACACGAATGCACGACTTTCAGATGCACAGACACAAAGATCACACACAAAGATCCACACAGAGATGTCCGTGTGCACTGCCCAAAGCAACTCTTGAGGAGACAGACGCAGAGTTAGATTTCACTGTTAAGAAACAAAGTTCTGTTCCAGACGCTGTTACCAGGAGCACAGGATCCCCACTCCACCGGGCTCTGTCTCCCACATGGACGTACAAATGTGAACAAGAGGCTGACCGTGTTCCCCTGCTGCCCGCCTGCTGGCCCTCCCTGACCCGACAGGCAGTTTGAGAGGGTATGCTCATTTTGGTTTTAAGCAAACGAAATTTAAAGGTGGATTTGTTTTTCTTTCAAAGACTAAAATTACTAGCTACGCCTTTCATGTTTCCTCCCAGCAGCCTGATATCTAAATTTAAGTAAAATCATGCTGAGAACTTGAAGTTGCCCTCAATAGTAATGGAGGTAAACTCCCAATTTAGTTCCTTTTAGAAGGAAAATGACAAGAATTCCAGCTGGGGCCAACACAGCTGTGAGAAGAAGCTATCAATAGCAACAATCCTCGGCTTCCCATTGAAAAACTACTGGGAGAGATTTAAAATAAAAACAAAAACAGCCCTCCCTCCCCTCACTCCTCCTGTAGCCTCGGGAGGTGTGGGAATTCCCTCAGAAAGCAACTCTCACGTAGGGCAGCAAAGCCACCCTGCCCTGGCCCAGGTTCCTGGAAGACGTGTCTTTATCTCTGTGGTTGTCCTTTGTTTGGGGGACAGGGGTTCTCTATGAAAGCAGTGCCTCTGCTGCCAGACTGGACACAGGCCAGAGAGCAGAGCCCAGCCAGGCTGCTGAGACCCAGCCCTGGGCCACAGTGGAGGGTGGTACCCACAAGCCCCCCGCCCCCCCCCACACACACACAGCCCTCCACTGACACTGCACCAGGTTCTTTACCCAATGACTGAACCATAGAACTTTACACACTAACTGAAACCTTCAGTGATCTAGTTAAAGATCTTAAATTCAGTATATCTATACATATAAACTAGAGTTCAAATTACTAGGAAAATACCACCAATATAACAGTTTAAGTCTCTGACATTAATTATTTGAAAATGATCTTTATTGCTCCAAGTGGTCTGTTCTCCTTTTTGTTTTGACTAAATCTTCTCAGTGTTTTCTTCCCTGGATTAAATCTGGAGGGAATTAAGAGTCCTAAACCAATAGAACAGAGCTGGATTACAGCAGCAAACAGAATAAGCGGTCTCAAGGAAGCTGTATCTAAGGCAGGCCAGAGGCAGCCGAGCCCCCAACAGACCGATCCTCATGCCCACTGCCTCTCTGGGGTTTCTCAGCCGTACCACACCAACGCTGGCACTCACTTGCTCTGGAGGGAGGGGGGGGCTGTGCAAAAGAGCCAATGTCACAAGTCTAGTTTCTGTCCTTTGAAAGACTTGCTTCTAAGACTGGCACCTTGACTGGCTTCTGGGAACCTGGATTCGGGGAAGGTCCCCATCATCCTCTGAACTGGTGAGAGGCTCTCGACGAGCAAACCGTGCAAAGCATATGGTTTGTGCTGACCACCTGCTTCCTGCTGGGGGTCTGAGTTTCACCCCTGCAGCAGAGAGCACCCATGCCACCAGCATAGCCACACACCGAGTCGCCAGGTCCCCTAACAAGTCATGGAAACGGGGGCCTCGGGGTCCCTTGGCATACATACATGCTCCTCAATGGTGACAATCAAAACTGTCTATACACTGACAAATGTCCCCTGGGGAACAAGCTAATTTCCTTCACCTTGTTGAGCCCAAGAGTTGGTTCAAATAGGCCTTCCATAAAGCTTCGCCATGAACTGAATTAAATAATTTCCAGAACTCCGGGAAAAAGGGTAATTTTTTTGTTGTTGTTGAATCACATAACTAATTTAGTAAATGCTCACAGAAGCATCAATCAGAGGAGTAACCTTTCTACTTACAATAGTTGTTCATATTCGTGCTATAAAAACATGCCAAATTAAGATCCTTGGCACACAAGTCAGAAACTTGCAAGAGACCTTGACCAGAAAAACCTTAAAAAAGTAAGAAAGTTTTAGGACTCACATTTACCTATTTCAAAACTAACTACAAAGCTACAGAGGGCCCCGGCTGCCCATGCAGACCACCCTTTCTCAATGTACAGAAATTGAGCTTCAAAACAGAGTACTGAACTGTATCAGTTTCTCTAGTCTACAAATCTATAAATTCTCCATAAGAATTATCTTAGTATTTTCATTTTGATGGCAATAAAAAATTTAGAATAGGCGTATTTTTGCTCACATTTAATAATGGTTTAAATATTTCTACCAAAACTCATGTTGAAATTTAATCCCTACTGTGGAGTTCAGAGCATGGGAACTTGATTTGACCATGGTATTTGGAGATGAGACCTCTGGAGGGTAACTAGGTTAGCTGAGGCCATCAGGGTGGGGCCCTAATCCAACGGGGCTGTGGCTTCCTGAGAAGTAGAGGAGAAGAGGCCTGAGCAGGAATGTTCTGTCTTGCCACGCAGTGCCCTGCGCTACTCTGGGACTCAACAGTCCCCATGAGCAAGAAGAACCTGACCAGATGCAGCAGCCCAATGATGAATTTCCCAACCATCAAAACAATAAGTCATATAAAGTTTTATTCTTTATAAACTACTCTGTGTATGGTACTCAGTTATAGCAACAGAGAAACTGTTGTATTTAGTGAGCCAATGAGAAGAGGGAAAAACTTAAAATGTAAATCATACAAAGCAATTATAGCAAAATGCAAATAGTAGGATCTAGGTGATGGGTAACAATTATGTTCACACAAAAATGTTCAGAATAAAATGTTGTGAAAAATATGAATCACATATCACATATCAGATGAAGATAAATGATGTCACAATATATAACAATAAGTTATATAAAGGTAAGCTTCCTAGGGGTTCAAATACAAAGCATGCAGTAAAAGGTACACTGACACTCGGCATACAACGGCACAGGCTTGCTAACTCCCATGAGACCACTGCCAATGCCATATTCACCTTAAAAGATGCAACTTCATTTCAAAGAAAAACTCATCTATTGCATTAAATTGTGTTAATGTGAATGCTATAAGTTTTGTAAATATTTAATTTGTAACTTTGTCTTAGTTTTATAGTTGTATAAGCACAAGGAGTTTAGATTATTTTTTGTTTGTTCTTATTCAAGTTACAGTATAACAAAAATAATTAAAAAGCAAGAGACCTTGACCAGAAAAACCTTAAAAAAGTAAAAAAGTTTAGGACTCACATTTACCTATTTCAAAACTAAATACAAAGCTACAGTAATCAAGCCAGTGTGGTACTGGTATTAGAATTGACATATAGATCAAGAATCCAGAAATAAAGCATATATCTACGTACAGTTGACTGTCAGTAAGAATACCAAGATCATTCAATAAGAAAACACTCCTTTCAACAAGTGATGCTAAGATGACAAGATTATTTACATGCAAAATAATGGAGTTAGGCTCCTACCTCACACCATATACAAAAATTAACTTGAAAGAAATCACAACCATAAATGTAGGAGCTGAAAAATTAAAATTCTTAGAAGAAAATATAAGTGTAAATTTTTACAACCCTGGATCAGGCAAGTTTCCTAAACATTAATACTACACGAAAAGTATGAGCAGCAAAAGGAGAAATAAATAAGTGGGACTCCATCAAAGTAAGAACTTTTGTGCCTCAAAGGACACTATCAACAAAGTGAAAAGCAACCTACAGAATGGGAGAAAATATTTGCAAATCACAGATCCAATAAGGGTCTAGTGTCTGGAATATATAAAAAAAATGACAAAATCATAGAATTTGCAGGGAAATGGATGGCATTAGAGCAGATTATGCTAAGAGAAGCTAGCCAATCCCTAAAAAACAATGCCAAATGTCTTCTTTGATATAAGGAGTGTAACTAAGAACAGAGTAGGGACTAAGAACATGAGAACAAGATTAACATTAAACTGGGATGAGAGGTGGGAGGGAAAGGGAGAGAGAAGGGAAATTGCATGGAAATGGAAGGAGACCCTCAGGGTTATACAAAATTTCATACAAGAGGAAGTGAGGGGAAAGGGGAAAATAATACAAGGGGGAGAAATGAATGACAGTAGAGGGGGTAGAGAGAGAAGAGGGGAGGGGAGGGGAGGGGGGATAGTAGAGGATAGGAAAGGCAGCAGAACACAACAGACACTAGTATGGCAATATGTAAATCAATGGATGTGTAACTGATGTGATTCTGCAATTTGTATACGGGGTAAAAATGGGAGTTCATAACCCACTTGAATCAAAGTGTGAAATATGATATATCAAGAACTATGTAATGTTTTGAACAACCAACAATAAAAAATTAAAAAAAAAAACTCTCAGAGCTCTATAAGATGACTACTGAATTTTAAAATTGGCAACTGGAGCTGGATGTAGCTTAGTGGTAGAATGTGAATGCAGCTTAGCCCACATGAGGCCCTGGGTTCAATCCCCAGTACCACCAATACATATATATTAGGAGATATATATGGCAAATAATCTGAATAGACGTTTCTCCAAAGCAGTTATATAAACATCCAATAAGCACATGAAAAGGTGCTTGAAATTATTAATCATTAGGGAAATGCAAATCAAAACCACAATGAGGTACTACCTCATATCCAGCAGGATGGCTAGAATCAATGCAGACAATAACAAGTGTTGGCACAGGTGTGGAAAACTGGAACCTTTATACACTGTCAATTGGATGTAAAATGGTACAGCCACCATGGGAAATGGTCTGGCAGTTCCTCAAAAAGTTAAAATGTCGAGTTACCACAAAGCCCAGTAATTCCACTCCTAAGTATATATCTGACAGAACTGAAAACAGGTTTACCTAAAAACCCTTATACAAATGTTCATAGCAACATTACTCATAGTAGCTAAAAAGTGAAAATAACTCCAATTTCCATAAACTAATACAAAATGATACATCAAATGATAAAGAAAATGTGGTATATGTGTCTAAATGATGAAATACTATTCTGCCAAAAAAGAAATGACATGCTGATTCCATGTTACAATATGGATAAATCCTGAAAACTTTGTGATAAGAAGAAAAGACAATATTGCATGTGATATTGTATCACATCTGAAGAAAATATCCAGGGTAATCAGACACATAGAGACAGAAGAGAAGAATGGTTATTCCTGGGGACAGGAATCAGAAGTGACTACAAGCAGGTATGGATTTTATTTTATTTTATTTCTGGAGTAATGAAAATGTTCTCAAATTAAATAGTAGTACTAACAGTTGCACAACTTTGTATGTATATTAAAAACCACTGAATTATAATTTTAAAACAATGAATTTATACTATATGAATTAATCTCAACTCAAAAATAATAAAAACAAATTACATCAACTGTAGGAGTCTATTTCAAGGAAAAAAAATTCAGGAAGATGATCTGAGACAAGTTCATGAACAACTCAGTTTCTCTTTGCACTTGCTGAAGGACAAGGAAAAAATGTCTCCAGCTGATCTGGGATTTGTGCACTGACTAAATAACAACATTTGCCCCCCCCTAAGTTTCAGAGTTTGGTTCCAGGTCCCCCAGTAAACCACACATGGAGGAGAGCTACTTTCTCTCCTGGGAAGCTTTCTTATACTTCTCAACCCATGAAGGTTGATAAGGGGAAACCTGGGATGCTCAGAGGATGGTTCTAATGGTTTCCAAGCAAACAATTCCCTTAAGACCCATTTCTACCACCAAGCATGAGTTTTGTGTTTGTTTTTTGCAGTACTGGGGATTGATCCCGATATGCCCTACCATTAAGCTCTACCTCCCCCCAGCTGCATTTTTATTTTATTCTGAGATAGGGTCTCGGTAAATTGACTAGGCTGACCTCCGACTTATGATCCTTCTGCCTCAGCCTCTCAGACAGCTGGGATTACAGGTGTGTGCCATCACACTCAGCTTCTCTGAATGGGTATGATATCTTCAGGTTTGTAATTTCAGTCACCTTTGTATGTTGGCACTTAAAAAGGAGTTTTCATTAGCATTGTTTAAAGCTCATGGAGTTCTCATCATGCAATAACACAACATTTTTTTTATTATTTATTTTTATGTGGTGCTGAGGATCGAACCCAGGGCCTCACATCTGCAGGCAAGTACTCTACGACCGCTGAGCCACAACTGCAGCCCAATAACACAACATTTAAAGAGACTACAGCTAAAAAGTTAGACAAGGGCCCGCCACATCCCTGCTGCGGACCCTTCCACTGATTCCACATATTAGGTATGAGCCAGCTCTACATGCCAGACTTATACTACACTGCAGCAGCTGAAACACAGGCCCAGCCTCTGTTCCACTGCACAGACAATCCAAAGTGTAGAGAAGACAGGTTTGGAGCAAGTCAGATGCCAGAGCACACCAAGCACCTTCGAGAAGGGCCGGTTGCCATGGGAGCGTAATGCAGAGGAGCCATCCAGGGCGAACAGAGTGCACCCACCTGGCCCATGACTAGTGGTTTCGAGGTGAAACCTTAAGCACGAGCAGGACACCAGACTGATGAGGAAAAATATTTCCAGGCAATTGAGTGTACTTGCAGCCCAGAAAAACCTGGGAGAGCAAAGCCCATACTAAGAACATAAAAGGGAAAAAATGTTCTCAGAGAAAAGGCTCGAGAAGGAGTGGTCAGATGGCAGAGAACCCTGACAGACACGCCAGGGAGGTGGCCCTGTCCTTCCAGGAGTGTGGGGCCAAGGACCAGGCCGCAGCGCAGCAAGCTGGAGTCGGGGATGCCCAACAGGGTCCATTCAGGAGCCCACAGGGCAGTGACAGCAGCCTGCTGTGGGCAGAGGGGAGGAGGGATAGAGAGCTCTGAGGCATGTTTTGGATACAAAGTCAAAGGACATATTGTTATTTTGGATCAGTAAAGGGAAGGAAGGAGTTAGGGATGTGGCAGAGTCCTGGTTTGGGAAACCTGGAAGACAGCCCGGGAGTTGACCGAGATAGTGAAAGACCAAGGATGGACAATCTTGGGGTGGCTGGGGCCGAGGGCACACTCAAGACTTGACCTCAAAGTAATGCCACAATTGCTGGGAAACCCCCAGGCTAAGCTGCAGCATCCCCCAGACTCTGTGAAGGCACACTGGATGTGCACAGAAGGCACTTACCCTGGTCCTTGTTCTGGAAGCTCCACCTCAGCTGACAAGGGACTATAGACAGGAATGCTGACGTCATAGCCTTGCCGGTAAGTCCACGTAGAAAAGCCACCGCCAGCCAACAACGCCCTGAAAGCAAGGTTCATCAAACAATGAGAAAGAAAGAAGGCCTTCATTCGAAAAGCTCTGTGACAGGGACAGCAATGACTGAGTCTTACTGTTCAACAGCAGCTGATGTGACAGAGGCACAGCTCTCTAAGACACCGTGCTCAATGTTCCACACTCATGTCGCATCTGCTGGACTCCAGCTGCATCCTATTCCTGAATCACCAACCTTCCCCTAGGCCCAAAACTCTTTCTTACTTTCCATTTTTTAAAATACATCATACCCCAGGGGACACTATGAATAACCCCTCTGCCACCTCATTCAGTTCCTACTCCCCTCTCCCTCCCCAAAGTCCTACTTTATTCTTAAACACATTTACAGCAACAGGTCTGCTCAGGAAGACTGGCTGGGGCATTTCCCACCCCTCTGCCTGAAATCGTGGGAGAAAATGGCAAGGAAAGCAGAGGTGGCTGGAAAGTCTCACGACTCATATCACATATACCCCAGCCTCTCCCCAGCCTTGGCCTGCATAGCACTTTCCTCTGTCATTCCAGAGCCACATGCCAATCATGTAGCCTCTGCCAGCTCACATTGCCCCTTCCAGCCACTCAGTCTTATTAACCCAATTCCCTGTTCAGGAAGCAGAATCCAGAATCAGGCCTTCAGTGCTTCTCCTGCAGTTGGCCTGCACTAGCTATTATTCTCCTTAATTAGAAAACAGTGACCACATTTTTTTAATTGAAACCAGCAAGTAGTACAATGACACTTCATCAGAGAAAGGAAACAGGTGTATATCACACCAACTTTTATTGTTATTCTGTCCCAGGGGCCCCAAACCCATCGAAATCACTTTCTGGGGGCAGTTTTGCCAGTTGCACATACTACAGCGTCTAAGCCAAAATGTCTGAACCGAGAAACCACATTTTTTGCAATATTGATTGCTACCAATCGCTGCCCTGCCCTGATGACAACCTACATTCCCTTCTAACATGACCAGTTTAAATTCAAAGATTTTCAAACCACTCCTAGAAATCCCACTGTGTTTGTTTAAGCTTTATGAAACCAAGAACTGGTGAGTGAGGTAATGTGCAGGATAAAAACCTCTCCAGCTGCCAGTCTACTCTCTAAACTGTAATGACTACCCTGAGTACCAACATACGGTCTGATTTTTCCTGATTAGCATGCAGCCTCGAATCCATCCAACATGAACTTGGGTGGGTTCCATGGCCATGATGGCAAGCAGACTCCACGTGGCCATGGCCTCAGTGCAAAGAAGCAGACAGGGCTCCGAGAGACAGGCACCAGGCGGCCCAGGTAAGGCAGGGTGTGGGCGAATTGGCTGTGACTGCATGTAGGGAGGAAGCTCTGTTACTCTGTCCCTCGACCACCAACTTGTTACTCTGTTCTGGGGGAATAAGGCAGGCGTCATGCAGTGGCAGCAGGACAGCATGCAGTCTGAAGCATGCCTTTTGTCACGGATCACACACATGCGATCTCTGTGATCTCAGAAAGCCCACCTGCAGTTAGTCAACTCGCCTCGCCCAGCCTTGCTACTGACAAGCCTGAGATCTAAGTCACAGTCTCCTCCGCCGAGCTCTCCATGGTGTTATAATGGAGAAAACATTGTAAGCACCCTTGCTTTACAGAACACATGTTTTACATTGACTTAGAATTCTGAGCAGCACTTTCTGTTTTCCCATTATGGATTCCCAAATCAGAAATCAGTTCAAAAGCCTTGGATCAGCCTAAAGCTACAAGAGATAGAATAGAAGACTTGTGGTTGAAAAAGTCTTAGTGTGATGATCAGGCTCATGGCAGGCCGAGCACTCTGTCAGTCTAAGAGTCTTCGCACTTTCCAGGGCTCCCCACTCTAGGACATCTCCTCTGTCACTGAGCCTTTCTCCCACAGCCTCCATCTCTCATCTGGCCAGCTGCAGTCTGGCACAAACTCCTCATAGTTCTCCTGCTACAGAGCGTCCACCTCACCTCGACAAAGCAAGCTTGCAGGGTCATCCTCCGCTGGCCTTCAAGCCACACACATGATCAGACTCACAAACCGCTCAAATACAAAGCTTCAGTTTTGCAACACAAAGGCCAACCTTGGTCATTCTTATTATTTACTGAGTCAAACTATAAAAAAATATTATGAGACAAATGAATTTGAACAATGGCTAGATATTTGGTGTTTACTTGATGATACTGAAATACTGTTAATAATAGGAAAAATAATCATATTTTAGTTGATTTTTTAAAAGCCCACATCGTACATAGATTAATATGGAAACATCTGCAGAGGTAATGATGAAATGTCTGGGATTTGCCTGGGATACCCTGGAGGAAGGGGCAGAGCACAGATGCAACTGGCCTCCAACAGAGCTGGTGGGGCTGACAGTGGGCTGTGGGGTCCACTGACCTACTCTCTTCTCTTGTACAGGTTTGAAAGTTTTCAGAACAAGTTCAAATAAATACATATATACCCACATGAGAGTAGAGACACTTGTAAGAGATACATGCAAAGAAAGGATAATAAAAACCCAAGGAGTAGCACTATTACAGAATGTATTCAGCAAAACTAACATCAGTGGAGGTCCCACCTAAGTTAAAATGGGTATGCATGTATTTGTGTCTAATAGAAAAAGACTAGAAAAATACACAACATTTAACAAAGAGTATTTCCAAAAGTGAAAATATTTTACTCTTTATACACTGCACACCACTCTACTCTGGTGCAGAGAAAGTATACTTGTATCATGTGTCTGATTTTCAAAGATTAAAAGAGAAATAGAAACAGATTTAAGAAGCACAAACGATCTGGTATTGTGATGCCTCCTGTTTCACTCTTCTTGCTAAGGATTGCTCTGGCTATTCTGGGTCTTTTATTTTTCCAAATGAATTCCATGATTGCTTTTTCTACTTCTGTAAGGAGTGACATTGGGATTTTAATTGATATTGCATTGAATCTGAATAGTGCTTTGGGCAGTATGGCCATTCTGACAATATTTATTCTGCCTTTCCAACAGCATGGGAGAGCTTTCCATCTTCTAAGGTCTTTTCAATTTCTTTCTTTAGTGTTCTGTAGTTTTCCTTGTAGAGGTTTTTCACCTCTTTTGTTAAATTGATTCCAAGTTTGTTTTGGGTTTTTTTTTTTTTTTGAGACTATTGTGAATCTAAGAGCATTCTGCTGTCATGTAAAACTGAAAAGAACAAATAAATAAATATTTTTTAAAAAAGAGCACAAAAGACATTTGCTGAGTACATATTTCCTTTCAGTCCCGGTCCTTGTATTTCCCTGAGTAAAATGACTTTTAAGAAGTCACACTACCGCAGTAGACTTTAGGATATCTTAAAGCAATCTACTCTGTCATATAATTTATGAACAACTGACATGCAGCCCCTGATAAAACCATTCTACACTCATGGCTTTTGCCTCCTCTGAGTCCAGGAGCAAAGACAAAGGATAAGAAAAATTAACAAACAAATCTACTATTCCTCTCCCCACAGATGCCACCCCAGTTTCAGAATGAAATACCCCACTGCAGGGCACAGCAGGCCCCATGCTGACATGTCGCTGGCTACACTACAATCACTCATAATCACAAACAGAGAAAACAACATGACCTTCCCTATCCCTGACACCTTAGTACTAGCAGGAATACAAACTTCTCCTGTCTACTTGACACTCTCCACAGAGAAATGAAACCCCATTTAACATGTGCACTTCATAAAAATAATATCCACCTCCCATGCAGATGCACACCAAAATGTGAAATGTCCCACATAGAAATTTACCTTCAGGAAAGAAAGCCAGAGGAGGAGGGGAAGACACTGCACTCCCCACAGCTCTTTCCCTTCCCTTCTCTGTCCTCAGAAGCATCTATCTGCCTTTCCCAGGACAACCAAATCCACTCAGGAGCCAGCGCATCTCACTGGGCAGAGCCCACCAGGAGGCCCTGTGTGTGACCACACTGCCCTCTGCCGCCCAAAATGGTTTCTACACCAAAGTGAAGGAGTCTGGGGCATGGTCTCTTCCAGTGATATCTGTATTTCCAGATAGAAACTCAAAGCTGACTTGAAAAACTCACTTAGAGAAAACAATCTTCTGAGGCAAAGTAGTGCTAAATGTAGATTTCCACAAATGACAAGGTCAGCCTCTGTCAAGCCAAGAATAAGGCTGGCTCAGGCTATTCTCAGCCTTGCTCAACATCAGCCCAACAAGACAGTGAACTTCAACAACCTATACCTCAAACACTGCCCAGCGCACTCGTCTGGGGTCCAGGCTTGCTGCTCTCCTCAAAGCCCTGAAGAAGGTGTACACAGCACCTTCTGGGGCCTTCCAAGAGCCTCGGGCCAAAGTGATTGAGTCAGCGCATGAGAGGGCAGGCAAATATCATGAGTGAGATCAAAGTCACAATCATAAGTCATGACATCTGCCTGTTTGGGGAGTTTTACCAGAAAGGAAGAAAAGAAGAGAGCAAGAAGGTGGTGGGGGAGAAAGAGGAAAATAAATGCAGGGAGGGAAGGAAAGAGGGGAAGAAATCTACTGACAGAGACCCCACATCACCCCCCATCACATACCTCAAGCATCACTTTACTCATCCACGCCCTCCTCACCCACCAGGCTGGGAGGGAGCATTTGCCAAATTCAGGGAGAGCTGACGCATTCAGTCCTCAACCTGCCTTGGGAGTTGGGGTGCTCCAGTCAGAAAGCATGACCCAAACTAAGAACAGACAGCTTTTTAGAGGCTATGCTCAGACATGAGCTCTAACTGGCTGTCCTCAGCATCCTCTATGCCTTGAGGAGAAAAGTGCATAGGACAAATTTCTAGTTTAATAAACAATTTCGATTACAAAGAATGCCCCAGCAGGCTCAGGAACACAATCTTACAGGAATAAAAGGATCTTGCATTTGAAACCCATCTCTGGGACAGCCCCAAACATGCCTACCTGTCTCTGGGGACATCCAGGGCCGTGTTATAATCTGGGGGACCTCCAGGCAGCATGTTGAACAACAGGTGATTTGTACCTCGATCCCACCTGTTTAGAAATGAAATGTGGAAGAGACTTCCATGACAATCCTGAAGAAACAGGCAGCCACCAGAGAGCCAGCATGTCTCAAGTGAGCAAAGCAGATTCCCACAAGTCCCAACAGTGCGTAAGGCACTAGTCTGAATCCGTGGAAGGAAAAACAGGTGGATGTGTACTTCAAGTGTGTCCACTTAAGAACCGTTTCTCCCAATGAAAAACTAAAAACTAAAAATGTGCGCCATTTTGTTAAAATTTAAAGAGCCTGAGAACAGCCTGAGGCCAGCTGTGTTCTTGACTTGTTAGAGGCTAGCGTTGTCATTTGTGGAAATCTACACTTAGCACAAGTAAGCTAGGCTCGGTGGTGCACGCCTGTAATCCCAGTGGTCTGGGAGGCTGAAGCAAGAGGATCTCAAGTTCAAAACCAACCTCAGCAAATTTGCAAGGCCCTAAGCAACTCAGCAAGACACTGTTTCAAAATAAAATATTAAAAAAGGCTGGGGATGTACCTCAGTGGTTAAGTGCCCCTGAGTTCAATCCTTGATACCAACAAAATAAAAAATAAGAGGGAGTATCATGCAACATTTAAAATTATATAATACAAGAACATGAAATTATTTGGAAATATGTTTACTAGATATATTAAGGGAAATAAAGCAAACAAAAACATGTCTTGTGTGATAGGATCTTGACAAAAAAAAAAAAACTAAAAGATGTACATGCACGTGTATATTTTTTATACAAAACAATAACTGAAAAGTAACATCAAAATATTGATCATGACTACCTCTTAGAGGCAGAATTATAGAATTAATCTTACATTCTTCTTTTGCTTATCTGTATTTTCAGACTATGTAACATACATGTGTGCTCTGTCAGTGCTTGGGACAGGCAGGGGGCAGTGTATTTACATTTTTTAAGGAAAAGCATGGGAAGAAGAACCGTCCTTGGTTTGCAAACTCTACGAAGCTGGGAACAACGGCAACGGCCCTGGAGATGAGGACTGCCTCACCCTCCCGCCACCGGCCCACTGCCCACTGCTCACTGCCCGCTCCTAGAGAAGACAGCACAGGGAGGCCAGCTCAGAAGGAGAAGCGCTCCTATCCCAGGCACTGGCCCTCTAAGCGTGGTACCTGGAGAGCTGGGCCAGTGCCTGCGCGGTCTCCTTGATGCGGAGTGTGTTCTGGTTGAGCACGTCAATAGAGGGCACAAACAGGCAGGCCCGGCTGATGTCGTCGGTGTAGTAATCGCTGTCTGAGATGGCCGTGAGCAGTTCATTATACTCCCGGGAGATGGTGTTGCTGACCGGGACACCAAGGTCGTCCACATACTTCTTCAGAGAGTAGATATACACCTTGATTTTGTTCTTTGGGTTGAAGCCACAGCGGTAGACATCAAAACATGTATGCATTCTGCAACTGAGGTCCCCTCGCTCAGGGATGGGACTCTCGGCTGGCAGCCTGACCACTGGCACGTCACGCACACTACGCTTCTCCACGCTCCAGTCATTTGAGGACTCGATGGAGTGGGGCCAGAACTGAAACATGCCCGTGGCAATGAGGCCCAGGAGGACAATGGAGAAGAGGGTGATGTAGTAGATTCGGTGCTTGGTCTTCATTCTTGGGATGAGGGCAGGACCCCGGATATTGTACTTGACCGACGCACACATAATGACACAGACAGCCTCTTCCTCACACTCCTGGTCAACAGGGAGAGAAACAAGAAAAATCAAGCACTTAGAGTGGCAAATGACGTCCTTGTTTAAGAGGAAAAAACTGTAACATAGTTTTAAGTCACTAAGTTTTGGGGTGGTTTCCTACACAGATGTGAAAACACCATTTGGAAGCACTGGAAAAGCACAAAGGGTATCAGAGAAGATCTTTAGTCTTTAAACAAAATACATGTTGATGTTTGATAACGAAGGTTAGAGTGGGCACATTTAGATGGAAGAAGGACTAAATGAACGAGCAGGCCAGGGAAGATCCTGGGAGGGAGAGGAAGAGGGAGGAGAGAGGGAAAAAGGGCAGTGGACCCCTCTCCAAAGGCACAGGTGAACACTCCTCCTGTCCACAAATGTGTGTGACACTTTTGCAACCACAAGGTAGAACCTATACTCCTCCCCCCAGAAACTGGGCTAATTATGATTTTCTCTGAGCATAACAAGGTGGTAGAAGTGACACTTGAGACTTGAGCCCAGGCCTTCAGAGACCCCACAGCCTCTGCTTCTGGCCCCTTAAGTTCTTCCAGCAGTCATGCTAGGAGGAAGCCTAGGAGGAAGCCGAGCTCCCAAGTGCCCTCAGGTGAATCCAGCTGAAATCCTGAAGAGCAGAGTAGCCACCGCTGGGGAGCTCTGTGCAGACTGCGGAAGCAGGGGACATGAGCTGGTGGCGGATGTTTTAAGTCACTAAGTTTTGGGGTGGTCTCCTACACAGCAGTAGGAAAACAGCCAACAAGCATCGTGGGCTGAGACATAAAGAAAGACGTTTCATCCTCAGCTGAAAATGTGGAGCTCCCTGAAGACCACAACCCAAGCTCCTCACCAAGCCCACTCCCTAGATGCTATGATGCCTAGATGCTGTGCGGAGAGCAGAGCCTGCAGAGTGACTACATCATGTCACTGACTTGCCACTGACTTCGACAAGCCACTTTGGCATTCCGCGTGTCAAAGCCCAGTCTACACAAGGGTCCCACTCCACTCACTGATCTGTGAGACAGCTGACTGTAAAAGGAAGTCACTGAGAAGCCCAGTCTCTCATTTTGCTCAGGACAAATGGAGCTCTCCCTGCACCGCCCACACAGCACTACTGCTTCATGGCCCCTGGCTAAGGACAGCCCAGTCTTGATGACAGTAATCATCGTTAGCTTTTTGAGTAAAAGGTGCTGGAAAGTCATGAATGATTTCAACTTGATCTCTCTTGAGACCATGATTTGGAACATATCAAGGAATTAGCTTGACATGGGCTAGTGCACATGTGTTCATGAATTTTAAGCTTAACAATTCTCATAATTGGGGAAAAAGCAATAGCCATTCAACATATGCTGATTAGTGGGGGGGGGTGGGTACTGGGGATTGAACCCAAAGGTGCTTAACCACTGAGCTACACCCCTAGCCCCTTTTATTTTTCATTTTGAGTCAGAGTATCAAAAGTTGCTTAGGGCCTCACTAAATTGCTGAGGCGGGCCTTAAACTTGCGATCCTCCTGTCTGAGCCTCCCGCGTCATTGGGGTTACAAGCATGCACCACTACACCCCACTTGCTAACTTATTCTATAATAGAAATATGAGCACAGAGCTATTTCACATCTGTCATTCTAACAACCAGCAGGACACTCCCAGTCTGTCCCTAGGCCCCACCACCTCCAGGCCTACCCTATGATATGGCTTCCCTGCAACTCTGTGTGTCCCTCCTACAGAAAGCACTGAGAGGTGGGGACAAACGCATGCCAGGAGCTGCTCTCTACTGGCCCTCATGCAAAAATTCCCAAGGAGCTCACAAGGGCCACTCACACATCAATCAGTGGCTCCCAAACATCCCAAGGGTGAGAATCACAGGGAGTATGTTAAAGCAGATTCCTTGGCCCATGACTGGAGCTTGTTCTTAATAGTCTAAAATCGGGTCATAGAATCAGTCACTCAGCAAGCTCCTCAGGTGCTTATTTTGTGCAATCATGTCTGAAACCTTTCCTAATATTAAACAACACGGTAGTTTTCAATCTTTTTTTATACCTAAAACCTGGAGCATGAAGTACATTGAATATTGTCACCCAACACAGACATGTGTGTATTGTAATAAGTTTCATAAAATGGCATTTAACCCTAGCACACAGGAAACACATGCAATGAATCCTCTACTTTCCTATTCTGCTATACTATTGCTTTTTTTATAAATCTGGGCCCTAACATATAAGATCAGTTGTAGCACCCAGTTTGAAAAATGCTATTTTTACATATAGTGAAACTGGATTAAGGGAACAGTAAAAGGATCCTTATGTACATGCTTTGTCTGAATTTCAAGCTGGGACATGTCCATCAAAGCCAATCTATTCAATGTCAAAGGCTTGCTTCCCTGGCATATGTGGATCTGACAGGTTGTCTAGGCTTCCCAGCTCCTGTTATAAACGTTGGCTGAAGCACAGCCACTGTTGTGGCTCACCACACTAACCCCATGACCGTCCATCAGTGTTCTCCTTGAATCTACTGCACACTCATTCCCTGCTGGAGCATTCGCTGTATGTACTCAGTAATACAGCAAAAGTGTGAAACTTTCGGTTAGTCTCAGAGTTTCATTTTCCTGGTTTTTAGGTTTATAAAACAAAAAGGGATGTCTTTTTTGCACCTCCAATTATAATGTTGTTTACCAAACGTACCAAGAATTTAGCACTAAAACTCAGGCCTTTGAAAATCTAACTTTCAGTGTAGAGTGGGAAGTTGGATGAATCAGTGTCTACCACACACAGAGCAGGTGCGTGTGTGTGTCCCCAGACGTAGTTAGGGCATTTACCTACAACTCCTATTCACTCTTGGCTAGGGGTTGCCTGGTACTAGTATCAGCTCAGACCCTACCTCAACAGCCTCAACAGGTCTGGATATTATCCTATCCTTTAATAGAGCTTTCTACAAATACACTTTTTATAAGTTATTTTCAATCTAAATCCACACCCATGTCTCTTGTAAACCGGATAGCCTACAGTTATCCATCCCATGTATGTGTATCTTCTCCACATACATGGGATGGATAATTCTTTCCTGTAAGATGTGATTCTTTCCTTTATCCTTAATATTGATCTCCGGAAGCTGGCCCCTCTAACATGAGCCCATAAGTGTCCAGCCCACCAGTGGTTTCCATGGCTGATGTGCTCTTTGATGTGTGCTGTAGGGGGCAATGGGATTGTAACAGAACCAATGTGGTTTCCCTTTCCATTCTTTGTGCTCTCCTAAGAGCCTTAATAAGTATCTTAAAAGTGCAAAATACTATTAGAAAATACTATTTGAAAGGGACATTATAGGACTATCTTAGCAAAATGGCCACAAAATACTGTATTTCTTAGAGGAAAAGAAAATAAGTATAGAGGAATACAGGAAAGTATTTCCATTCATTTAGCACAAATAAGTCATCTGGTTTCACTGTGAAATAAAACACCAAAAAGGGAAAAAAAAAAAAAAATCCCAGCAGCTTGGGAGGCTGAGGCAGGAAGATTGCAAGTTCAAAGCCAACCTCAGCAACTTAGCAAGGACCTAAGCAACTCAGCGAGACCCTGTCTCTAAATAAAATACAAAACAGGGCTGGGGATGTGGTTCAGTGGTTGAGTGCTCATGAGTTTAATCCCTGGTACCCAAAAAAAAAAAAAAAAAGTATCCACACACAAGTTTTACTAGTTTTCATGAACTATAAAAAAGATACATCACAACAAACCCAAAATAATAATAATAATAATTATTATTATTATTGTTATTATTATTACTTAAACGCTTTTTCAAAAAATAAAGCTGGCTACAGTGGTGCATGTGGTGCACGCCTATAGGCTGCACTTCTCAGGAGATGGAGGCAGAAGGTTCTCAAGTTCAAGGTCAGCAGAGACAAAGCCAGGGTAAGGCATGCAAGTAGTTATTTGCTTGGAAAGTGATCTCTGAAAGCCAGAATGAGGAAACAAGGAGAGAGATGGGGAGCATGGAAAGCCAGTAGCTGGTTACTGCTGTGGGTAGAGGTAGCTAAGGGCCTTCTGACGACCACATGGGCTCCCTGCTGGCCCTTAGGAGGCTGGGAAGCTAGAGCGTTTACCTGCAGCTCCATCCACTCTTGCTAGGGGTTGTCTGGTCCTAGGATCAGCTCCGACTCTGTACTGCACAGCCCTCTAAAGGTCTGGACATTATCCTTTCCCCCCTCTACAGTTGTCCTGATAAAGAGCTGCAGTTCCCTTGCAGAAGGGTGGGGGTGCTGGTCTACATTTGGCAGGGATGTTACAAGGTACTTTTTCAGAGAGACCTAGCCTCCCCCTTAGTCCCTGGGACATGGGTCTGAGCTCTGGCTCACGTCAGAACACCAGGTGAGGGATGGTGATCTTTCTATCTCAGTTTCTACTTGCCAGCTCTTGGTTCTGCCAGGCTAAACAATCAGGCAATACCCTAACTGGCTGCCCACCTACACTGCCCTCAGGAGCACCATGCTCTCTTAGCAGCACAATGGGTCAAGACAGCCTGCCAGGCTGTGAGTCCAGCCTCGCTGCCCATTACGGCACCGCCAAACCTCCCAGAGGAGGCAAAACCGCGCCAGGTGGGAACCACTAGTACACATCACTGTCTTGTGAAGGCCTCAAGCAGTTGTCCTGCTAGGCCCTTAAACCCTGATCATGAGACAACGCTCCCATGGTAACAGACTCTCTCTCCTCCCCCCACTTGTAGAAGATTTGCTCCACATGTTCCCCAGGTACCTACTGGTCCACACTAGCCAGGGCCAGCCAGGGCCTGCAGGCCTCCCTATTAAGGTCACTTTGAGATCAGAGGGAGGGAGATCTTGAGGAGGACAAGCATTGGTCCTGAAGCAGGTACCTCAGTGAGGGCTCTGCCCTTGCCAAGCTAGGAGAGGCTGCTCTCCTCTGCCACGGAGGGCAGGAGCTCTGCTGGCCCCGGGTCTAAGGCAGAGCAGGAGTTCACCCTTCTCAGCGCCTCCACCCAGTCTCTCCATCCTGGTGCTTAGCCCCTGCTGTAGGAGAGGAGACCAGTGAGAGCTGCGCCTTCAGCCTCCTGTGCGGTTCTGCCACAATAGCGATTCAGTTCTGGGCCTGACCTCAGTCTGTCCTCCAGCTGCAGGAGAGAGGGCTGCAGAGACTCCTGTCTTTTACGCTACACGGGGTTGACATCTGGCTGACCTGAGCCCAGCATTCTCTTAACCCAAGGCTTCTAATGGATGCAACAGGAGCCAGCCAACCCCTCCATCCTCACAACCACCGCTGGCCACACACCCTCAGTGCTAGAGTACCGTGCTGGCCGCTGCTCTGCCTCCTACTTGGATCTCCTCCCAACTTCCATCCTGAGAGTCTTACAGTTGTGATACTAGAGAGCACCAGGGGTTGCCAGCCTCTCATTGCCACTGATAAAGGGGCCCTTGCTGCCACCTGAGGGTGAAGGGTTCAGTTTCAGAGCACTCTTCTCAGGGCCTGCTTTCTAAGAAGAGCCTTAGTCTGTGGTCTGCCAAACTAAGAAAAACATCTTGGACCTGGATGGCTTGCCCACGTAGGTGGATCCAGACAGCCAGAGTGAGGGAATAAGGAAGAGTGTCAGGGAAGAACAGAAAGCCTTCAAGATACCCGACTAAGCTGGTCACCATACTGAGCCAAGCAAACAGAGCTGAGCCTGGCTAGGAACCCCTGCAGATTCAAGCAGAACATACCTCAGATGCACTGGAAGCCAGGGCATTCCCCACCAAAGCCCAGCCTTAGATGCACGTTCCTCCCCGCTCCTGAGTATCCTTCACAGTTAAGCAAATGCCCAAGAGTCTGCATCAGCCTCTGAAGAATAAAAGCTGAGGCTATGGCAAACACCTGGGGCAGAGTAAGCATTTGTGATAAAAGAAATGGGGGGTGAGACATGAAAGCCGGGGAGCTGGAGACCGTCTCTGAGAAGCCACCTACCTTCTGCATACTCCATTACAGCACTTCCAGTGTTGCCTTAGTAACATACTTGCAAGTCTATCTCCTCTACTGGTTGTGGTTTTCTTGCAGTGAGTCTTGCTCAGTATCCCCCAGCTAATACCAAGTCCAGAACGTAAATGCTCATTAAATAAAACAAATCTCTCCTCCTCAGTTCCATTGGCACACACTGTTCTGCATCCATAGGTTCGAGTTATTACATGGTGAGGGCTTCTAATTTTTGTCTTTGCTGAATTGGAAAAAGTTTCCAAAAGGGAGAAAAAGGCTAGCTATTTCACAGACTCTGAATTTTCTGTACCCACCCCTAAAAACCTCCTCTCCCACTACCCACCACACATAAACACATCCAAAGAACATCCCTGCTCCCTGCACCTGCCCTCACAAACTTTTGCTGAACTGCCTCCCTTATGTAAAACTTCCTGCCTAGATTGAACCCATGATGTTCCTGACTCGGGGCATCCCAGCTGCACCTCTATAACATACAGAACCAACTTTCACAGGAGTTTTTGCATGCTGAAGTACAGGAAGATGGATATCTCTAAAACCATCACCAAGGAAATGAGTTGTCATCTTTCCATTCCAAGAGGACGCTCAGAACCAGCAAGAAGTCACAGGAGGGGACAGAAAGAAAGGAAACTTCTGCAAATGAATGTTTGTTCTATATGACGGCAATCTGGATCAAAAACGGAATCCCGAATCAAAGCTCTGCAAACTTCACCCTCCTTTAAAAACATCAAATACATCCCTGCAAAACACTGGAATCTTCTGGATAGCTGAGTCTTCTGGGCACTGAGTCACTGGAAAAGTCTTTTAACCCCAAGCTACTGTCAAGATGAGATGCATTTTCTGTTCCTGGAATTATTTATTCCAAAAATTTGCCTGAATAGCATTTCTTCTGTGCTTCAGACCATATTCAATCCTTTTACTCCATTTTAATTTTTATTTAATTTTATTTTTGGTACCAGGTATTTAACCCAGGGGCACTTTACCACTGAGCCACATCCCCTCCTCCCCCACCCCAGCCTTTTTTTATTTTTGAGACAGGGTCTCATTAAATTGCTTAGGGCCTCACTATATTGCTGAGGGCGGCCTTGAACTTGCAATCTTCCTGAGCTGCTGGGATTATATGCATGTACCACCACACCCAGGTGAGTCCAAGGTTTTCAATCGCAATTTCTTGTCTTTTTTAACCTTTTTAGAGAAGCCCAAACAGCCTTCCAGGACCACTGCCACACTAGAAATTAATCAATCTGCTCCAAAAAACAAAGGAACCAAATATGAGCAAAAGCAGGAAAATCCACAATTCATTGCCTTGCCTGATGATTCTTTACAATTACACTATGGCTAACTGCCTCTAAAAATGGTTTCCAATTTAAAAGAACTGTGCCTTTTAATTGTGGAAATGATAATGTAATTAATACAGTGAATACCACTAAATAACCAGTAACTATACTGAGCACTTACTACACGCCAGGGTCTGTTTCAAGCACTTTATTAGTCTTAATTTATTTAATCTTCATAACACTGCTGGGTGACAAACTAATACTGCCCTTATTTTACAGATGGAGAAAGTACATAAAGGCAAGTACTTGTCCAATAGGACAAAACTAGAAAATGTCAAAGTTAGAATTCCAAACACAGCAGCTGTCTAGCTCTAGAGCCCACTGTCCATTCACACCCGCACACGCAACCAGGAGGCTTACGGCTGGGAAAGGGAAGAGTGATAGAAATGGAATCATATATTTTATTACCATGAATAGACTTTGAGCTCTGAAACATATTAAACCAAGACCAGTTGAAGTATTTAGGACAATTAACTCACTAACAAGAAAAGTTAGATATATTTCTATCTCAGGACAAACAAGCACAGGACCCACCTGGAGGAGCGCTTCCCCAAGCAACTACTGGAGTCTCCACACTATTCCGAGATCTGCTCCCACCACCGGTACAAAGCTCCAAGGGCCTCTGAGCCTCCAGGCGACGCCCAGGGCCAGCACGTCCTTGGCCACCCTCCGCGGGGCGCGAGCCCTGCGCAGGAGCGCAGCAGTGCGCGGGGCGCACCCAGGGGCGCAAGGCCTCGGCATGGGAGGGGCGGCAGCCGGGAGCCGGGAGCCGGAGGGGTGCGGGAGCAAAGAGAGGGCGGGCGGGGGCAGTGCGCGAGGGGGACCGGTGGGGAGGCCAGCGGCGTAGGCGCAGCCCGGAAGCGGGTGCCAGAATCCTAGCGTCCCCACTGAGGGAAGTCGTTTCGGGGTGGCCTTCCCCCGGGCCTTGGCTGCCCGCGCGCCCACCCCGGGGCCAGGCCCCTGCGCGCCGCGCTCACCTCAGCCACGGCTGCCTTCCGCTCGGCCTCGCGCTCGGTCACCGGCTCATGCCGCTGGGCGCGGGCCACGGCCACCCGGGTCCGAAGGCGGGGAGGTGGGGGCCGCCGCCAGGGCCAGGTCTGCGCGAGCCAGCTGGGAAGACCGCGCCGGCTGCTAGCCTCCCCGGCGTCTGACACACCGCTCACTGCGCATGCGGGAGCGGCCGGGCCGCGCCCTCTGCTGGACAGGAGGAGTCAGGGCACCGCCGGGGCTTCTTCCACACAGGCTCCTAGATCTCTGAGCCTGGTTCTCAGCTGGAGAAGATGCACACACAAAGAACTAGACACCACACTCCATCTGTAAAAACCGTCAAAGATGATAATATTTGAGTATAATCAGTGCTGTGGAGGGTGCAAAATTTCCTGGTGGAAGCTATCCTGCAAATATCAAATATCCTGGGCACTATTCTCAATATTTATCAATAGCAAAATATTGGAAGGAACAAAAATAACCTATAGGGCTTGATTTGGATGAAATAATGTGATAGTGTGTGGGTAAGAAAATATTGCCAGGATACGTCTTAATACAACAGCATGGTCCAAACAACAGGTATAATCATTTTTTAGGTTAAATATGTATATGCAAAAGCAGAAGAGATAAAATATTTAACCAGTTGCTTATGTTCAGATATTTGAATAATAATTTTTTTCTCCAAGGAATTTAAGAAACAACTGAGCAGTTTCAGCAATTGTGTAGGCACAAATGCAGGCGTTTTCATTTTATTTCTGGATTATTCACGTGACCCAGCCTTATAAATGCACAGTAAACCTGTTACAAGGAAGTCAATAGAGTCTGAAAACACAAATCAAAACACAGAGTGATGTTATTGAGAGATGCATGAAACAACACCACTGGGCCTGTTTGCTGGCTGGTGGGAGTTCTGGTTCTAGCTGCAGGAGCCAAATCCTTAGGTTCCAGCTGCACCTTAGCGCCATCTGGTGGAAGGTGTCCCTTACAGCTTACTCTTATTCATTGAGAGATCTGGAGCTCTATTGGAGGCTTCTAGAAGCAGAAGTGATTTCAGGAATAGTGTGGACTTAATGCCTACTTGTCACAGATCTAGAGACTGGAATGACAGCTTTCAAGATCTGGGAAGCCCACACCACACCCTCCTTTCCCACATCTGATGGCTCTGATCTCCAAATCCACACCCTGAACACCCTCGCCCCCATGATAGGAAATTTAGCACACATACAACCCTAGGAGAACTGAAAGGGTGGAGAGCAGTACCCACCATCAGTGGTATACATTCCCATTTTCCCAGGGAACACTGGCTTTACTTTTTATAATAATTCAACACAAGTTATTTTGGCTGGGAGATTGTGGGCTCTTCATCGTGATCTTCTTTGTATTTATCTATATTTCAAAACATACATGTTTGCAATCAATCATCTGTTCTTTCATTAAACGAGAACATGCTGTGACCAATAACTGTGTGACACACGCACTCTGAGGAACCCTGCCTGTCCTACTGGCTTTTAATAACCCTAAACTTGCATAATGCCTGGCACACAGTAAGCGCTCAGTGTTTGTTGAATGAATAAAGGGTGCCAGATGCTGGAAGGAGCCAACTAGAAATGAGATAAACACACAAGGGCGATTACTCAGAGCAGAGAGTGGAAAGTGGCATAAGAGAACAGAAACCAATGCCACAGGGTTGAAAACAGAAGGAGAGTGCATCCAATTGGAAAGATCTAAAATGATGTCAGTCAGAAGGGGTATCTTTGCTTGTCTCAGACACATTTAGGATTCTGCCAAGTCAAGAGGTGAAAAGGGCATTCCAAGAGGAAAAAAAATCATGGAAAAGGGGCATGTCTCAAGGAGAAGCAGTCAGAAAGAGCAAGCCTTCTACAGCCCAGCAAGGTGAGAACAGCAGAGCGACATTTCTAGGACTACAAACCGTGCAAGTGACGGGGAGAAGGAATAGAAGCTGGGATACTGGAAGCTACAGGCACAGACTTATCCCTGGATATTATTATTATCTCCTGAGCATTATTCTCCAACAATGCGGCATAGCCACTCTTTAGATGGCATTTTCATTGCATTGGGTATTATTAGAAACATAGAGACTATTTAACATACAGAGGGAGGTCTGTGTAAGTTACATGCAAAGACTCTACCATTTTTGTAAGGGATTTGAGCATCTGCAGATTTTCCTATCCACAGTGGGACCTGGAATTAGACTCTGCAGATACAGAGAGATGGCTCTATATGAAATACCAAACAATTATGTTTATTCTGTCTTAAAAATAAAAAATAGTTTAAAAATAAAAAATAGAATAATGTTTAGAACCTCAATAAAGAAAATTATATATCTGCTAAAATTAAAAACTCAAATAAATCAAAACAAGTTAGATATAGCTAAAAATGTATTCTGAAATAACTGAAAGGAAGACCAAAAGAAGTTACTCAGAATGTAGCGCAGAAACTTAGGAAGAAGAAAAATAAGAAAAATAAATAAATAAACAGGCATGCAGGCAGCAGGCCAGTCTCTCCTATGAACAGGAGCAGGTCCAGAGGGAGAAAAGTGGGAGAGGGGGGCAGAAGCGATATCTGGTGAGACAGTAAAGGCTGGGGAGCTTGCAGAGCTGATGAAAGCTACAAAGGCAAGCATCTGAGTATATCTAGAATAAGATACATCAAAATAGGGGCTGGGGTTGTGGCTCAAGTGGTAGCGTGCTTGCCTGGTACGCGCGGGGTGCTGGGTTCTATCCTCAGCACCACATAAAAATAAAATAAAGATGTTGTGTCCACTGAAAAAATAAAAAATAAATATTAAAAAATTCTCTCTCTCTTAAAAAAAAGATCAAAATAAATCTATCTCAACATGCAATAGCGATACTGTATAGAATCAGTGACGGGGCATATCTTCTAAAGGCACTGGGAGACAGGGGACAGATGTCCTTTGAAGGAGCCACGGTCTGACAGACTCCACAGGAATCTCAGAAGTCAGAAAGTAAGTATGAACCTAGGATTTTATACCCAGTAAAACTCTCAAAAAGAGGTAAAGTATAGACATGTCAGAGAAGCAAATCCTAAGAGCCCCACCAAAGGACATTCAAGTGTTATACTCTAGACAGAAGGAAAGTGACCCCAAATGGAAGATTTACATGTATGAAATGAATATGTGACAAATCAAAGCAAACATTGCCTATATAAACCAAGATTTTTCAGTAAAAAAGACAGAATTAAAATAGACAACAAAAATAGCCAGGGATTATAGTTTATAAGGGATTATTGGTATCCTAAGGCTCTTATCTTTGGGAGAAAAGTAAAGAGACTAATTTTAGACTAGTGAGTTATACGTATGTGTTATAGTATATAGGATAACAACCAGAAGGAAAAAAACAGGGTATACAATTTACAAAAACAAGCAGAAAAAGATAATTTAAAAATCTGGAAATATCTAAGAGAGAACAGAGAAATAAACCAATGCTGGGAGTTGGTTTGGTACCTGGAAAGAGCACAGAGTGCCACCAAACCAACTCTGCCTAGACCTGGCTCTGAGGCTGGAGCTCTGGACAGTTCAGCCATCAGTCACTCTCTTTAAACTCAGTGTCTGATTTGTGAAAATGGAGGACAATGGGGTCAGCTCCCAAGGACTGTGGAGTCAGAAATGAGGCATGTGATTCCCCCAGCATCGGGTCTACACACCTTCAGTATTCCATGAAAGACAGGGGAGAAGAATGAGTGACTGAATGAGTGGCAGATCAAAACACAGGGAGAAAAAAAACTAAAAAATAACATGGATTAGAGAATAGAAGTACTGGTTTCACTTCTTTGTCTTAAAGAAGTTAAGTGTCAGAGTCTATGTTTTCTTCTTTGTCTTTTTGAAGTGGCCTCTTGCATTGTTTCCCAATCTGACCTTGAACTCATGAGCTCAGGAGATCCTCCTGCCTCAGCCTCCTGAGTAGCAGGGAGGACAGGCGAGCATCTCTGTGTCCAGCTGAGTCAGCTTTCCTAAGCAGGGGTGTGGGCAGCTGAGAAGCTCCCCAGCACACAGCTTGAGGGATCAGAAAGCACATTTAGGCTCTCAACTAAAGCACACCTGCAGGTGACCCAGGCAACCTTTGGTCCACTTAGCCAGGCAGGGCCAGCCCAGTCCCAGGGCAGCCTCGATTCTGGGTTCCAGTCCCCAAATTCCCCCATAGCCATTGCTAGGCTACTCTGCTTTGGGGACGTCAGAGAAATCAGCTACTTTCCAGTCCCCAATCCTGAGAGGCCACTTCAATGCCCATTGAGAAGCCCCTCCTGACTCCCACCTTGGGGTCCTGTCCACTGGTCCCCAGCTGAGACCTTCCTAGGTGCCTGATGTGCTCAGATCTGAACAGACTGACTTCGCCCCATCCCCCTAGCCGGTGGTCACTTCCTTTTCCTTCTTGGCGTACTCTGTGCACTGCTCCTCTGGCTTGTTTCCCTGGCAACAAAGAAGCTTGCAGACGCCATCACCAAGAAGGTCCAGGTGGCTTGTCGGCTCTGCCCTCCTCCTGGAGCTGAGGGCGGTGGCCAGGAGCCCTCTGCACTCCCCTGTTCCACAAATGACTCACAACAGAGACACAGAGACGTCTAGCTGGTCCCAGGTTGTTTAATAGGGGACAGCAATGGCCAAGATGAAGCTCAGCTTAAGGAGTCTCCTGCTGCCACCCAGGCGGGCAGGAAAGAGGTCCTTGGGGCAAGTCCAGCCCGTCTTGCAGCCCCAGATCCAGATCGTCCAGGTCGGAGGCAGTGGCTGCTGACCAGACACTGAGCAGCTCATCTGCCCTGGGAGGGAGGGGCTTCCTCTGTCACTTGGGGTTGCTCTCAAGCACCTGCCGGACCCTCTGCATCCCTGAGAAGGAGAAGTGAGGGCTGTGAGCGCTGGTGCTGCACAGGTGGGGACCAGCAAACCCTTGCGAGGGGCGGGGACAGGTGGCTGCTCACCCAGGCGAAGCCGCTGGGGCCTGTCTGAGAAGACCACGCGGAACCAGCCGGGCTCCTTACACTCAAAGGCCTTGCCGAAGGACAGCAGCACCTTATTGTCCAGAAAACGGCGCCACAGCAGCGTCTCCTCCTCAAAGGTGGCCTTGCGCAGGTACTGGAAAGGGGAGGGTAGAGGCTCAGGACACAGCGGAGACCCCCAGGGCCTGTCACCTGCTGGAGGAAGGCTTGAGCCCCGCCAGCCTGCACCCCAGCTCACCTTCCTCAGGTCAACCCAGATGAAGAGACCTGCCCCACGATTCAGGAAGGGGACCCCTAGGGCCCTGAGCTCCTCCGAGACGTAGGTGTGGGCAGCCTTGAGCCGGGCAAGGTTTTCAGGCAGGTACACGCGGTTGATCCAGTCTGAGTGAAAGGGCAACCAAAGAGGGGTCTTCCCTCAGCCTTCTCTCCCCTGCTAGTCTCAAGAGCAGAAGGTCACGGCTGCTGAGACCATGGAGCCCCTCAGGCTGGCTGATGGGGTGAGGAGGAGGGAGGATCAGGAGGGGCAGGAATTCAGGGGTCCCTGTAAGGCCCCCCTCAACGCTGAGGGCTCCAGCTCCAGCCTCCACACGCCCAGTAGGAGCCCAGAGCACAAAGCCCCTCAGGATGCAGAGCAAACCAAAGATGTACCTGGTTACAAAGTGAGGCTTTGGAGGCACACAGACCAAGGGCCAAATCCCATCTGGGCAATGACAAGAGGGGGGACCTTTGACAAATTCACCTCTCTGATCCTCACATTTTTATTGACCTCTTTTTGAGGGGTGTGCAGCTCTGTAGATGATCACCCATCTATGTATTTGTGTACCTACCACCTTAGGCAGGATTAGGAATAGTTCCCTAATTCCAGAAAACACCCTCATTGGCCTCTGCCCCTCAACCTGATCTGCTTCCATCGCCCTAGTTTGCCTTTTGCAAAATGTCCAGGAAGTGGAACGTTATAGTATGTAATCCATTGAGACTAGCTTCCTTCACCAGCCTAATACCTCCGGGATGAATCTGTGCTGTCGGGGATCTGATTGCAGAAGCACTTCATGGTGTGGATGAAGCACTCATTCACGGAAGAACATCCAGATTGTTTCCAGCTCAATTTCCATGTGGGTTTCTGCGTGCATGTGTGTGCACTATCTAGAGGTGGGATTGCCGGGTGGCGTGGTCAGTGTTTTTATGAGAAACTGCCTGTGAGATGCCAACCTAGTACATGACCAGCATTTTTCTCCCCTTCTGATTGGTGAGGCATTGTGGGTCACTTTGTGATCTGGTTGCCTAGGTAACCACAGATGGTAGCCCAATCTTCAGGGTCAAGCAAATGTGTCTTCATGCATGGGCGTGCCTTCCTACAGCCCCAGGGATCGAGCTACGCTCACCTGTTCCTTTGTGATATTACCCCTTTGCCCTGTTTGGGATAGAATGTTCCATGGAAACGCCCTTTGTATGTCCCCTTCTTACTCTGCACTTGGGTGTGGCCTACCCAGGTGTCAGGCAACCTGCTGACAGTGGACATCATGAAGCTAGACTCAGCCCCTGAAATCTGACCCCTTGCCTCATTTGAATAACTTCTCCTCAATAAAAGGGGTCAGCACATTCGGGTTCTCTCTCTCTCCCTCTCTCCCCCCTTAAGATCAGAGGAGCCGTCACAGCACCCCCAATAGAAAAAGGTATTTCTGTCTCTTGTGTGGTTATTTCACGCAGCCCAATTAGCCCAGTTCTCCTGAGTGACCCTGAGTGTTTTAGTCATGAGCAACCTGCAACTGCGAAAGGGCTTTCCAAACTGGCTGAACCATCTGAATACCGGGCAGCAATGCATGAGAATTCCAGCTGCTCTGCCCCTGGTCAGCAGGAGATGTTGCCTCTATTTTTAAAACTGTTACATGTTACAGTGGAGGTGGGGTATCTGGTCCTTGCTTTCCTCATCTGTAAAATGATGAGGAAAATATAAGAATTTGAGCTTCCTAGGGTCCTGTGGAGGGATAAATGTGATACAGCAAGAGCACCTGCAGGGCTCAGTAAATGGTGGCTGTGACAGGTCCCTTTGCCATCTGACCTGGCTTTCTGAGCATGCAAGCAGGATACAGCCACAGAGGGAGAGGGATTTCCACTACTAACAACTTCTTCTTAGTAGTTTCCACTCTCTTCTTTAAGTGCTCAGAGCTAACAATAATGAGTTCACATTTTACATTCTTTCTTTTTCTTCTTAAGACAGTCTCACTATTTGCCCAGGCTGGCTTCAAACTGCAGGGTCCCAGCAATCCTCCTGCCTTAGCCTCCCAAGTAGCTAGGACCACAGGTGCACACCACAAGTTCACCTGGACCAAGTGCCACACTCACCCTACAAGACAGGCACCATTATTATACCTGCTCTACAGATGAGGAAACTGAGGCTCATGGAGATCACATAATATGACACACAGCCAGGAAGAGACAGAGCAAAGTCTGGACCCAATGCAGACCCAGAGTCGGCACTATTAAACACCACCCTAATATCTTCTCATTGGAGAAGCATCCCTGATCCCGGGCTGGTCCCAGACAGACCATAACCCTCCCCCTCACTTTCAGGGCACCAAACCCAGGCAATCACCATGGTCCTGGAGCAGCTGTGCCACCTGGTACTGGACCAGACCACTAAGGCCGTGATAGTGACAGAGGGAAGCCACAGCGGTGGCCACATCCTGGTTTTCTGTATACAGCGTGCCAAAGCGAAGCCCGGACATCCCGAAGTCCTGCAAGAAGAGACAGCCTAGGCTGTGGCCACCCTCCACAGAGGGAGCTGATTCCACCCACCTGTCTGCCCTCCCATCTCTCTGACTCCCCGCAGCCACCCAGACACTCACCTTGCTCATGCCCCACAGTACGTGGGTCCTCTGGGGGTCGGGCAGCCTGCAGAGGGCAGAGTGTGGGAACAGAGGCAGCCAGAACCAGGGTGCCCAGGCCCATTTCCACGAACAAATGAGGAGATGGATGGATCTAGTTCTGGGTCCTGGCCCTGTTTTCATCTCTCAGAACCACCAATTCCTGTGCATCCTTTAGAGCAGGGTTAGCAAACAACAGCCTGCAGGAAAATCTTCCTGGTGTCTGTTTTCTTAAATATCATTTCATCAGGACAGAGCCATGCTCACTGGCTGACACAATGTGCATGACAGACTTGAGTGAGAGGCCATGAGGCCTGTAAAGCCTTAAATTTATGTACCATCTGGCCCCTTAGAGGAGAAATTTGCCAACTTCTGATCTAGAATGCAGCTCAAGTGTCACTTCCTCAAAGACCTCCCGACTCTCCCCAGCCAGTGGGGTACCCCTGCAGGTCATCCCAGAGCTCCCGAGAATTCTCCATTTAGCACTTGCCACCACCGAGGTCAAAATGACTACCTGGGTGTTGTGCTGCTAGGGTTTGGGGTTTATCAAAGGTTCTACATGGGAAGGGCCAAGGTCTTGGTCATTCACTGATGTCCCCCAGCACTAGCACAGGACCAGGCACAGAGCAGATGTCCATAGATACTGTTCCCATGTCTACCCAAGGCTCATGGGCAAGTCTCTATTTTCTCTGTGTCTCACTCTCCTAATGCATAAAATGAATGGGAGTCACACTCCACATGCCATCGTCCTCTCAGAGCTTTTGAGAGACAAGTGACAGAAAGGCCACAACAGGGCTGAACAGTCAGTAGGAACATCAGGAATGTCATCCTGCCTCGGGGTCAGATTACAGACTTCACAGATGATCTGGTCCAAGTGTGTCAAAGGTATCTTGTTCATAAATTCTGTGCTCAGACCCAATCTAATGGATAAGGCCACTAATTTAAGTAGCCCAAAGTGCTTATTCGCTCCATGGATGCGAGGAAGGAAGGGAGGAGGCAGGGAGGGAGGGAGGCAGGGAGGGAGGGATGGAGGAGGGACCGCAGCTCCACTGGGCATGAAGGATGGCCAGGCAGCCAGTTTCCCATCTTCCCTCTGGAGTCCTAGGCCCGGGGTTGGAGGTCTCAGGGTCTCCACAGAAGAGTCTCAAATCCACAGATGCAGCCCAGCCACCCACCTTCTTGGGGGCCTGAGGACCCCTTGGGTCAGCTAGGTGTTAGTAGCATTGCCCTGGCCAGGTCACACCCTGTGGGCCAGCCACAGAGAGGCCAGTGGGGCTGGGGGGTCAGCTCAGCCCAGGAGCCTCACCTTTCCAGGCTCAGGACACTGCTGAACTCCAGCGACTCCTGGAACACTGACAGCATGTAGATTTCATCCAGGATCACGTGCAGCGAGTGCCTGCCGCCAGGAGAGGGCGGGAGAGAGCTGGGCCACAGGTTACAGCCACATGTGCTCCCAGGGAGCCCCCTGTCCCAGCCCAGAGGGACCCGCCTACCCAGGGTGTCCAGGAACACCCTTCTGTTGCCTATTTTCTCAACCAGGAAGCAGCACTTACAAAGCAAAGGGGAGAGGAGCTTGAAGCCCTGTCAGGGAGAGCTTGGACCTCAGGGTCCTCCCTGGGAGGAACATTTAAGGATGAGGCTCAAGGCAGAGGGACCCACATTCAAATCTGGCCCAACCCTTGACGTGTCCACTCCGAGGCTCCCAGGGCTGGGGATCATGAAGTGTCTATTTCTTTCTTTTTTTTTTAATATTTTTTAAGTTATACATGGACACAAAATCTTTATTTTGTTTATTTATTTTTATGTGGTGCTGAGGATCGAACCCAGGGTCTCCCATGTGCGAGGCAAGCACTGTACCCCTGAGCCACAACCACAGCCCCAAGTGTCTATTTCTTATGGGGTCGTTGTGAGGATTAAAAGAAACAGTAAGCAAAGGGCTGGGCTGGGCAGTGGGTGAAGCCATTACTATCACGTGGAAGACACGCTAGGTGCAGTGGCAACCCCGGTAATCCCAGCACCCAGGAGGCTGAGACAGGAGGAGGCAAGTTCAAGGTCCACCTGGGCAACTTGGCCAGACCCTTTCTCAAAACAAAGATTTGAAAAGGGCTGGAATGAAGCTCAGTGGAGGAGCACTTGCCTAGCATGTGTAAGGCCCTGGGTTCAAACCCTAGCACCACCACTACAACAAAAAGCCTAATTTTAAAAATAAAATGGAACAGAGAGAAATGGCATCCAGCAAAGCCCTACCCTCTCACTGCCGCGCTGCCAGGGAGAGGCCAAGGCAGGTAGAAGCCCGCGGTGGGGTGAGAGGGCGCAGGGCCTGCAGCAGAGCCCTCCTGGGCCCAGGAGCTATGAGGGGAGGGCGCTCACCTCTTGGCAAATCCCAGGAACTCCTGCAGCTCTCCCGGGGAGTAGATGTCCCCCAGAGGATTCTGGGGGTTGATGAGGATGAGGCCCTTGACCTTGACACCCTGAAACCATCCACAGGCAGAGACCTCAGCTCCTCCCCAAGGCCAGGCAGACCCACTAGATGGGGCTGATCCCTGGTGGCTCCCAGGGAACTGAGTGTCCTGGGGACATGGTCAGGACCCACATGAAGCACAGTAGGACACAGAATGACATCTGCAGCATCGGGCTGACTGTGAAAAGAAAACCAACACAGAGCACAGAGGGGAATGTGCCCACGAGCCAGGAGAGGCGGCCTGTGTTGCAAAACTCAAGGGCACGGGTTTCAACTTTCAACTTTCCTACAGTGAACACGTGATCGCTCTAAGGACCAAGGTAAAATCACCCAAGCAGGCAGACGGTTGAAAAGTGGATTAAAAGGAGCCCCCAGAGAAGGGGGCCCTCTGCATTTCAATCCCCTCTAGTGAACAGGACCAGCCCCTCCACCTCTCAGGAGACTCACTAACCCACAGTCCCCCTGCTCCATACTTGACCCCTAGAAGCCGAGTCAGAGGCAGTGGGGAGAGGGGGGCACCTTCCACGAAGGTCCCGGGTTGATTCTCTACACAGAGGCATGAGGGTCTTGTTCCAATGGGCAGAACCTCCAGGTTCTGTGCTACCACACATGTGTCCCCATCATGGCCCCCAACCCAGCTCTCAGGAGATGAGCCACAGGAAGAGGGGTCCATGCTGTGTCCAGACCCACCCACTCCCAGCCCTGGTTGGAACCATGTCCAGACCTCAGATTTAGCTCCTTGCAGGGCCGTCTCCAGCTTCTCCACCGTGAGCTGGAAGGGGCGTGTGTCCTGCCCAGTGACCTGGAAGAAGACCCACCAACGTCTCCATTCAGGGACCCCCCAACCCTGAGTTCTCAGGTCCCTCACCCCCCATCGCTTCAGTTCAGTCCCTGGAAAACAGGTGGGGCCACTTCCTCTTCCTGTCCTCCACTCCACAAGTCACATCAGGGACACCTCTTATGGCTCTCAGGTTTCCAGCAGAGGCCCGCAGGAGTTCTCTGGTAGGATCCCAGGGCTTCCATGTTAAGGTCTCTGTCCCCTGTCCACCACCCTTATTTTGGTGGCTAATCCTTGGCTTCTATGTGGACCCCAGGAATCTTAGAGCCTAGAGCAGGGGACCCTCCAGGACCCAGGCACAGGCAGCCATGTGGCAATGGAGGGCTCCAATCCCTTTTCACAACAGCTCCAGAGCCCTCGGCATGGACCTCCTCCCATGCCCACCCACAATTCAGACCCAAGAAACCCCTGGCCAGGGGAAGGCCCAGGCCCACCTGGGACGCAGGAACTCTCACCTCACTGTCCAGATAGACATAGGCCAGTCGGACGTTGCCATAGAGATACACATGCCTCGTGATGCCTTCATAGTAAGGGGTGGGGATCAGGAAAGCCTCTGGGGACAGGAACAGGCAGGACATGTCATCCTCTGGCTGGAACATTCCCGACCCCTTGGGCATCCTGGAGGATCATCTGGAGCACGTGCCAGCTCAATTCCCAAAACTCTAATGCTCAGGCCACTGACATTGGTCCCCTTCCTAATACAGATGGGGTTCTCTTCGGATAAGTCCACGTAAGTCCAAAATTGTCATTAAGTCAAAATTACATTTAATCCACCTGACCTGCCAAACCTCCCAACTTAGCCACATGGCTGGCTGTAGGGGGTCCAGGATCTCGTGTCTGCCTGGGAGCTGGGCTCAATCCACTGCCCAGCGTAGCAGAAAATGCAGTAGCACATACCACCAGCAAGGACAAGGACCCCAGTTCAAAATCTGAAGTACAGTTCCCACTGACGTACACACCTTCACACCATGGTCAAGGTGAAAACCCGTAAGTAAAGATCTTTTGCAATTAATGACTAACATTGCTGAGCACTTACTATGCTGGGGACTGTGCTGAACTTTTGTTGGGAAGGTCCCTTTCTTTGATTATTCTAGAAAGGGTTGGCAATTGCCTATTATATTCTGACCAGGGATCTTCCTGGTGACTATCTCTTTCTCTGTGACAGTTCCTTAACCTCTGAGCCTCAGGCTCCTCACCTATAGGATGCGTTTGCCATAGAACCAACCTCCCTGGAACACTATGAGGTTAAATGAGATATGGATGTGTGGAGCCTTATGCCAAGGCCTGGAATGTAGTACGTGGCCAATAGACCCACGGCCATTACCAGTATTGGTTAAGCCATGGTGAACAGGCGTCTGTCCCCGGCATCAGACACCCCTATCCAAGGCCAGGTCTTAAAACCACGGCTTGTGCAGCAGGCCTGGCTGGCTGCCTACTCAATGGTCATCCCAGTGTCCCTCCTTGCTAAGACACGAGGGGATGGCAGGCCTTCCCCAGCCGTCGGGGACAAACTAAGTTTAGTGTAAGCCAACCCTGGCTCTCTCCTCCCCTTTGCCCAACGACTGCTCTGGGAATGGGTTTCAGTCATTGTAGGTCAGTTCAAAGGGGCTCTGTGGAGACCCTTCTGGGAAGTGCTCCCTCCCACTCCCCTCCCCCGATGTGAAAGAGATGGCACCACGTAACCTCCTCCTGTTCCTCCTGCTCTGGGCCATGGTGTCACAGGAGGATGCAGAAAGCCCAGAGCCAGCTCCCTATACCCTCCCCTGGTATGGCCACGCCCTGGGAGTCTCCTCAAGCCATTGATGTAAGGCCTCTGTGGCCTCCCGTATTCTATTCTAAGCACATTGGGGCAGCCCGTGAGGTCAGACAACTGGGGGTCCTGCCGTGTAGACCCCAGTTCAGAGCAGACCCTGAGTTCACTTACCCCCCACCTCGCACAGCACCGTGGCCAGAGCAGAGAAGACAGAGGTACAGCCATTCAGAACAACCACCTGGGGGTGACATAAAGGGACAGGATGACGGAGTTCCAAGAGGGAGTGAAAACACATAACCTCTGTCCCAGTTCAGCACAGAAGAGAGTCAGGTTCCCCCTCAGCATCCTGGGGCTCTGTCTAGACAAACACCCTCCTCCCCTATAGCCAAAGTCATTTGAGGGGACCCTGCTCTGCATCACCTGTGCAAGAACCCAGGAGCTGGTCACTCAGAGGGTCTTGCCTGAAGATGAGGAAGCCAAGAGGGCTCACAGCAAATGTGGGGCAGAGATGATACCCCAACTCTAAATATCTAGGGTCAGGTGTATGCGTGGTGCACGTCTGCAATCCCAGCAACTTGGGGGTTGAGGCAGGAAGAGTGCAAGTTTGAGGCCAGCATCAGCAATTCAGTGAGACCCTAAGCCAATTTGCAAGACCCTGTCTCAAAATAAATATAATAAATAATGAAGGCTGGAGATGTTGCTCTTTGATAAAGCACCCGTGGGTTCAATACCCAATATCAAAAAATTAAAATTAAAAAAAATGCATCTAGGGTCAGGGGTCAAGAAGAGAGCACACATTGCTCATTCTCTTTTTTTGTTTTAAACATTTTTTGCTGTTGATGAACCTCATTTCATTTATTTACTTATATGTGGTGCTGATAATCAAACCCAGTACCTCACACGTGCTAGTCAAGTGTGCTACCACTGAGACCCAATCCCAGCCCACTCATTCTGCTGTGAAACAAATCAAGATTGACAGGCTGATCCCAACCCACCTCGCTGTTGGCCAGCCAAAAGTGGGAGCACAGCAAAAGGGCAGGAAAGAGCAGAGGAGGGGGATACTCACATTCTCTGCTTTGAGGGGTGCTGGGCTCTTGCAGTAGTAAGACAGGAACTTAGCCACTTCCTCCCGGAGGCTAGAGATCAGACACACAGATAGGCCCTGCTTACCAGAAGGTCCTCAAACCACTGGACACCCAAAAGCTCCTCTGGGAAATTCTCAGCCCCTGACATTACTCTCCCCTCATTTCCCATATGGGCATTATGCTCAGCACGTGTCTCCACTCCCAGGCCCCTCCAACTCCTCCCACATGCACTGAGTCTTCTTTCCCTGTAGTTCTATATTTATCCTACACAGATGTTATTTTGAGAATGCTACACTGTGATTACTATTGCTATTAATATCTCTATATTACAGATAAAGAAACTGGTTTAGCCACTGTAATCCCAGGAACTCAGGAGGCTGAGGCATGAGGATCTCAAATTCAAGGCCAGCTTCAGCAATTTAGTGAGATCCTCAGCAATTCGGTGAGACCCTGTCTAAAATAAAACATAACAAGGACTGGGGATGTAGCTTAATGGTAAAGGTTCCCTGGGTTCAATTCCCAGCACCAAAAAAAAAAAAAAAAACAGGTCTGAAGGAATCAAGGCATTTGCTAGAGCCTGTCTCTAGGGCTCACCATCCTAACCACCATGTTTAAGAACATGTGCTTTGGAATCAGTCTTGGGATCAAGTCCTCAGCCACTGAACCCCTTTCCTCTGGTCCCTGGTGTCTGCTCAGGCACTAGAGCCAAGCTTCAGTGTTGCCCAGCCAGCTTGCCAACATGGGATATGGCTTCTATCAACTACTGAGAAGAAGAACAGACTCCTCACCCAAAGGCCCTGCCTGTACTTCAGACCCAAGTTCATGGAAACCAAACTGGGAGCTCCTGAGCCGGGAGGGGACAGGCAGGGAACCCCAGGATCAAGGCCTCCAGGACTCGGCCCTTGGCCTTCGGCAGGCTCTCTCCACCTGCCACGCCTGATATTTGGAGCTGGACAATTCCCTGTTGGGGAAGCTGTCCTGTGCAGACAGCATCTCTGGCCTCTAACACTGAAGGCCAGGAGCATCTCCACCTCCAAGTTAGGACCCTCCAACCTGTGTCCAGGCCTTGCCCAACGTCCCTGGGGGAGCAAAACCGCCCATGTTGAGATCCACTGTCCCACAGCACTACTTACAACAGGTGCCCCCTCCAGTCAGGGTACTGTAGCAGGGGCGGCTCCACCCGCAGCATGTCACTCTGAGTCAGCTGGGGACAAAGAGGAGAGGGACGGGCTGAGGGATCCATTGCCTCCTGCTTCCACACGGCAGCAGGTCCCAGAGAAACCCCAGAGCACCAGCATGTCCCATGCCCATTTTGCAGATGAGGAGATTGAGTGTCAAAAAAGTGAGGTGACTCTGCCAAGGTCCCACAGCCATTCAGTGACACAGCTGAGACCCAAACCCAGAAATTTGGACTCTGGTCGAGTGCTCTTCATGCAACATTGCCACCAAAAAAAAAAAAAAGGTGTGGCTTGCACAGACAGTGCCAGGAGAGGGAGCAGGGTGCTATCACCTCGGTCTTGGCTCCAACTTCTAGAAGGACTCAAGACCACTTGTTCTCTGGCAGGTTTGGCTTAGTATCACGCTGTGGAAAAGATGGCAATTTCTGGACCATCACCTCTGTGACCAGGTGCTGGGTTAGACCTCTAGGGCATCACAGGCCAAATGTCAAAGAAGGACTAATAACGCAGGGTCCTTGGGTGGTGGGACCAGAGGAATGGGAATCAGCCACGTGTCCAGCCATTTCCCTCCTCCTGTCATCCCTCAGAGCTGGTCCAACATGTCCCGATGGCCCACTGTGGCTTCTGAACTCTTGATACGTGGTGAGTCTAAATGGAGACACTGGATTTTGAAAACTTACTATGAGGAAGTATGTAAACTGTATTGACAGCTGTTATATCGATTACATGGTGGAATGGTCATGTCTCAGTTACATGATGTAAATGAAAAAATTATTAAAATTCATTTTACCAAGCTTTCTTTTAACTTTTTAATAGAAAATTTCAAATTACATATGTGACTCGGCTTCTATTTTTTTTTCAGTGCTGAGCTGTCTCAGGAAGAGCTGGCTTTAGGGAAAACAGGCTTTGAAGACCCTCCCTACAACCCAACCCCTGGGGCTTGGATTTTTCTCCTTTGGAAAGCTGTCTTCTGGGGGAAGCATCGCTGCCTCTACAAACCCAAGCTCCAACTGGAGACCCCCTGCTCAAGGAACTGGATTATGACATCCAGGAACTTTCCAGATTTCCAGGAATCTGAAAGCTATGTTGGAATCAGTCATTTTTTAAAATTAATTTAATATAAACTTAAAACCTAGTCAAGTAATCTATAAGTAAGGCATTGAGCATGTGAACATTGTCACTTCTTGCTTTCCTGCACCGTGCCACCACCCCACTTTCCAAGTGACTTCTATGGTCCATACGGTGGGAACAGGTATGAGCTTGGGCCACCAGGTCTCTCTTCCAACCCTGCTGTGCTGGGATGGCACACTGGAGCTTGAAATTGATCATGGAAATTGGCAAAGTCACAAATTAGGGCTTTGGTTTCCCCGAAAGGCACGGTGGCACATGCTTGTAATTGGGAGACTGAGGCTCGAGAGTTCAAGGCCAGCCTCAGCAACTCATCAAGGCCCTAAGCAACTCAGCGAGACCTTGTCTGTAAATAAAATATAAAAAGGGCTGGGGATGTGGCTCAGTGGTGAAGCACCCCTGGGTTCAATCCCTGGTACAAAAAAAAAAAAAAGAGGACGGCACTGAGTCCCCTGGAGTGAGGGACCCAACACAGCAGGAGGGACCAAGGGGCAGAGCCTGAACTGATGAAGGATCAGGATCACAGGGAAGTGATGGGCCTAGATCACCCAGAAAGTGGTTCCCAAGGCAACTGGGGTCCCCTGACTCCCTGGCCAGGCCAAGAGCCCACAGCAGGTCCTTTAGGGACAAGTGTTCCAAAGAAGGGATCCCCTGGACTCACCCGCCTGGACAGCAGGTCAAAGCAGAGTTTGTTCTCACTGGTGCCCAAGTTAATGACGCCCTGGAGACGAGAGGAACGGGGCCACGTGAGCATGGCAGAGGAGTGCCAGTGAAAGGAGCCCACAGGGTCAGCAAACGGGGAGCTCTGCCACCCTGCCCTCCCGCCATCCCTCCTGGTCTCACTCCAGCCCTGCCCCCCTTGGCCTCAGGCTCTCTCTTCTCATTTCTAAAGATCTGCTCAAATGCCATCTCCTCCAGGAAGCCTGCCCCCCAATCCCACCTAGAAGGGCTTTTTTCTTCTCTGGGGTTCCATGGCTCTTAATCTGTCACCCCTCTAGAGCACTGCTGACTTTTTGCTCCAGGCCATGGGGACAGAAGTCCATGCTCTACTTCCCTGCTGCAGGCGAACTCCCCAAAGGCAGATGCACACCCAGGATGTTACAGTATCTCTCAGGAGCTTAGCAGGAATCCATACATGTTTACAGGATGAAAGAATGTACACAGAGAACTATGTTCTCCAGGAACAGAAACCAGGTGGAGGTCAATAAGAATGAGCCCTCGGCCACATGCAGTGGCACACACCTGTAATCCCAGCACCTCGGGAATCGGAGGCAGGTGGATCGTATGTTCATAACCAGCCTCAGCAACTTAGAGACGCCCTAAGCAACTCAGTGAGACCCTGTCTCTGAATAAAATACCAAAAGGGGCCAGGGATGTGGCTCAGTGGTTAAGCACCTCTCAGCTCAATGCCCAGTAATTCCCCACTGAGCTATTTTATGCAGATGCACCACCTGGTTTACACAGTGACAGCCTTTGAGGAGAGAGGCTCTGTGTCCCATTAGCCTGGACCTTATCTCAGCACTTGGGATTAAAAGGAACACTGGCTAAGGTGTAGTCTTGGGTGGTGGGTAATATGTAACTTTTGGGGTAATTAAAGATGACAGCAGAGAGGGGAAGGCACCCCTTTGTCTGCCACGCTTCTGTCTGCACCTTCCCTGTGTGTCTGTGTCTGTCCTTGGTGGGCCTCCCCCACAGGTGTTCTCCACAGGTGTTCCTTTACACCACACCTGATCCCCACCCCAGAAGGCCTTTATTCTCATAGGAGAGATATGATGCAAGGCCCAGCCCAAGCTCTCCCTTAGAGTCCCCAGAAACACAGGGCCACCCTCTGCCCTGCCACGCACCTCCCCCCCCCCCCACAGCTGACTACTGACCTCTGCATTAAGGGAAGCAAAAGAGAGTAAAGGAAGAAGGAAAGATGAAAAATAGACCTGGAATGAGCAGAGATGAAGACACCTAAAAGGCTGTGATCTCCTCCTGGGGGACAAACAGCCAGTGCACCTGCAAACCCTGACAGCTCTGCCTTCCAAATACACGCACAGTCCACCCGCTGCCAAGCTCCACTGCGGAGATCCTGGCCCAACCCCATCACCACGCCAGCTTCTCCACTTCCTGTCCTCCCCACTCCCTCACCTGTCGTCCAGGCTCATGCACAGTCCAAGGCATCTCTTAAAAACAGAAATCAGGCCATATCGCATCTCCCTGCAACACCTCCTCGCCCACTTGATCCAAAATGAGAAGGCTCGCAGTGGCCCCTGACACCCATGGGACCTATTACCACACCACCTCATGACCAACCTTCAAACCTCACGGTCCACAAGTCTGGATTCTTAGTAGACCAAGGGTCCCTTTTCTGTCCCTTGGTTCATCCAGCATGGTTCCACCCTGGGCTCTTCCCCAGGTACAACATGGCTCACTCCTGTTTGGTGGCTCCTAGGGACCCCCACACCCTCTAATCACACCCTCGAATGTGGGCTGGAAAAGCAGCTGCCAGGTGGGAAGTGGGCTGGTGAGAAAGCCCCTGTGGAGGGAAATGAGGCCCTCCAGTCACCAGGTGAGTTAGCTTGGAAATGGCGCCTCCCCACCCTCTCCCCGTCCCTCCCCCGGGAGATGTCCCCACAGTCCCCAGCTTCAGGGCAACTCCACAGAAGATCCTGACTGTGAGGCACCCACCAGGATTCCAGAAACTGAGACTCTTCCCACCTGAATTTCTGAGATTTGAAGGAATTTGTTACAGCAATTGATGGCTAACACCACCTCTCACCCTTTTTTTTTTTTTTTTTTGGGTTTCTGTCCAAATGTCACCTCATTAAAGTAGCTTTCTGTGACCATTTTATTGAATAGCAACATTACCACCATTCTCTATCCACTTCACCTGCCTTATTTTTCTCTACAGCTATCATAACCTTATATTACATAGACATGCTTTTGTCTGTTCGCTGTCTCCCACCCAGAACATAAATGCATACTGTTAAAATGTTAAAATGCCAGCACCTACAAGAGCGGCTGGTACCTGGGTGCTGCTGAAGAAATAAAGATTATTAAAGGGTAATTTGTGCAGCTCTCTGATCTGTGAAGGTATCACTAACAGTAGTTAGTAATACCTCATAATAATTGGGCAGATAATATCAATATAATAGCAGCAACATTTATTCCCTGTACCCCAGAGCAAGCCCTGGGCTAATCCCATCATAAATTCCATTTAATCTCCACTCTTCTGCAGCAGGTATAATTACCCCATTGTGGAGATGAGCAGAGATTGAAAGAAATGAAACCATCGTGCACTGAACCCAGCTCTGTCCTAGCTCCAGAGTTGAAGGGGTGGGGACAGCTGGGGGGGGGTAGAACACTTGCCTGGCAGGAGGGAGATCCTAACCCCAGCCCCACAAAAAGAAAACAAAATCAAGGTGAATAGTTGTCAGGCTATCCACGCAGGAACACTCTACAGCTCTTGAACTCTTCCTTCACAAGTCCGTGTCCACTTAATTATAAATGGGGGGGTCACTATAAAAGGCCCCTGCTTGTGGGCCTCTAGGACCTCCATCAGAAGCCCTCCTGGAGGCAGAGGACCGTGATTTTACCCTACAGGTGCCAGCTGGGTCCTGTCCTACAGGTCAAGGAAGGTACCCGCCCCACAGTTCCCTCTTGGGCCCGGGAAGGGCTTTGCTCACATTGGGGTTCTTGTCCTCATCATACTCATCCCTGTGGTAGGTCCTGTAGCCCTCCTCAGCCGAGTCCCAGAACCATTTGATGACCCGGCCTCTGGAGGACAGGCAGGAGCTGGCAGAGGAGAACATGGCGATGGGATCACCAACTCCACAGAGCTCCGGCCGCTTCAGCTCTGCTCTTCTGGAGCATTCTCCTTCCACGTCACCCCGACAGTATCGGCCCATGTCCTGTGGGGAGGCCGAGCCCAGACAGGTGGCAGGCTCCCTGCATTCCTTCTGAGGAAGGGGGAACATCTGCAAAAGACAGAAGCGCTCAGTGCCCAGGGCTGCTCAAGGCCCTGGGGAGCACCACCCAGAAAAGCAGTCAGGCACCATCCCTGCTCATCCCAGCCCCACCTCACTTTATTTTGCAACAGGGTTTCCCTGTGTTGCCCAGGCTGGCCTCAATGATCCTCCTGCCTCCACCCACTGGCCATCTGCCCCTTCCTTTAAGTTCATGCACTCACCACTTCCTGTGTCCCTAACTAGCTGCAACCATAGGTGCCACCACTTCAAGGAGCAAAATCTCTTAAGGACACGTAGTGAGCCAGGGCCTGTGCTGGCTACATCTGAGTCATTTCAACAGATTGCCGCTTTGGCTCATTTCATTTCTTTGTAGTTTTTCCTTGTCCAGCCTAAGGGGTCGCCAAACTCCAGGTTAAGCTGGGTGCAGTGGCACAGTCCTGTCATCCCAGTGGCCCAGGAAGCTGAGGCAGGAGGATCACAGGTTCAAAATCAGCCTCAGCATCTTAGTGAGGCCCTCAGAACTGAATGAGACCCTGTCCCAAAGTAAAAAATGAAAAGAGCTGGGGATGTGACTCAGCGGTGAAGAGCCCCTGGGTTCAATCCCTCGTCACAAAAAAATAAAAATTTAAATTTAAAAATCCAGGTTAAAATTCTCCACACACATCACTGCCAGGGAGTCCTAGATGTCCTGTGGTGGGAAGGGTAGGATGGGATTACTCGTTGACTGGAGCAGATGGTGATGGGAACTGAGGGGAAGGAGGGGTAGGAGTCTCCAACAAGTGCAGAGAGCCCAGGTCCAGGTCTTCATGCTGGAAGCAGGAAGGGGCACCAGGAAAGGGTCCTCCTGCCAGCAGAGGTGAGCGCCTCCACTTCTCTGAGCCAGTTTCATCTGCACAGTGGGTGTACCAGCAGCCACCTCACTGGACACCAGTGAGGATGTCAGGTGATCAAGATCTTAGACCAAATCCTGGCTCAATAACAAAGTTCTATAGAATATGGATCCTTATATAATAGTCCTTGCCTATGGTCCTGTCCTAAAGCATAAGCCCCCCAACACCAAATGACGGGTGATCCGTTGGAAACCCAGAAACCAGGGTGCCCTCCATGGTTTAATTTTGCTTTGTGAAGTCTTCTCTCCCAATTGGCGGGGCTCACGGAGGAGCTTCCCTAGACCAGATAACCAGGTCTGAGGCAGGGCATCCCTGTGGGTGGAGGATGGAGGCTGGATCCTCTGCACAGCCTGGGGCCTGGGGCCGCCCATTTTCCTGTCCCAGCCGTCCTGGAGCGCAGAACCGATTCTCCGCGTCCAGCGAGTCCCAGGACAGACTGTGATCACCCGCGCGGGATCAGCCCTCGGAACCCCGCTGGTGGGGCGCCCTGCAGGGCGGGGGGCGGCCGGGGCTTTTCCAAGAAGAGGAAGCCAGTGCCCAGGGCTTCAGCGCCAAGCGCTGAGGCTGAAAAGTGCCCAGAGGCTCTGCCGCGTCCTCTGAAAATCGGCGGGTCGCACCTACTTGGAGACCGGTGCTGGCGCGGGGCGGACTCGCGATAGGTGTCCCTTTGCTTTGCGGGGAAAACGCCGTCCCCAGCTTTCCGCGCGGGGAAGACGGCTGCGGGACTCGGGGACCAAGACAGGGTGCCTGGACAGGGCTTTGGCGTTTTATCACCGCGCAGCTCGCCCACTCGTGACGCAAGCGGGAGGAAGCCTAGGTGTGACCTGCGCTGTGATGATCACACAGGTGGGCGCATCACGGAGTCCAGGCCTCCCCCGCACGGGAAGGGGGGCACTTCAGGACACTGCAGCAGAGACCTACTCCAGGAAGGGGCGGGTCGCCAACTCCACCTCTCTCACCACTTCTATTCAGTGATAGGGACAGGGAGGCGGGAGCAGACCCATCCACACTGGCACTGGGGCGCCACCTGCTGCATCCAGCTTAGTCTCCCGGTTCTCAGAGTCCTTTCGCAGCACTGAAGTTTCTTGGTAAATGTTGGGACCCCGGAAACGTCCTTCCCATTAAAACCTTTGCTCTTGAGTCCCACCTGCGTTGTGACTGATCTCTCTGCCAGTCGTCTGTGTGGGGTTTCTTCAGCCCCCATAGGTCCTTGGTGGGAAAAGACTCCTGCTGAAAGAAAGGAAGAGAGGGAGGAAAAGAAGGAAGAAACGGGAGAAAGGAGAGAAGGGTGTCCAACAAGAGAACAACCCAAGTTTACTGACATCATACTTCATACACTGAGAGCTGAAAGACCTAAGCAACCTCATTCTACTTGGGACCTCATTTTGCTCTGAAACTTAACCCCTGACCTACTGCAGTCCTAAAGTCAGGAAAATACCCCAGAAAAGCTCTGTGGAAACAGTTCTCAGGAAAGCCGCAGATGGTGATCACCTAAGATAGGCCAAGATATCGAAATATCTGAAATTCCAGGTGGCCCCCACCTGGGTGTGCTGACCAATATCTAAACTAGAAGCCCTGCAGCTTGGCATGTACCCCCCTTGGGACATCCTCACGGTTTAAACCAATCAATTTTAAGTGTGTCAACCCCTTGAACTAACCAATAATTCTTTCCAGATTCTTTCCCGCCGCTTGACACGCTAATCATGTTTTAGAGTTGTTATTGATTTTCCCGGGGTGTGTGATGATTTCCTAAGAGATGCTATGATGTATGTGGGGATCCCTGCCTTCTCCAAAGAATGTATAAAACTGCTGCAAACACTGGGTTCGCGGCCTCTCAGCATCACCAGTTGCTGTGTGTGCGCAGAGAACCAAGCTAGCTCCAAATAAACACCTCTTTGCTGCTTACATCGATCTGTGTCTCTGGAGGTCTTTTGGGGGTCCCAAATTCGAGCATAACAGAGCCACCCAAGAAAAACACAGAGTCCTCAACATGAAACGGATTTTTAGAGATGTGACAAGACAAAGGAAAAGCCTTTAAGTCTCTATATGCTGCACTTTGGGAAGCGGGGGAAACAAGATAGATAAACCCAGGGACACTTAACCCCTGAGCCACAATCCCCAGCCAGGGAGGACTTGGCCTCTGTTTGGCTTGTAAATGTCAGAGTTTACAATTTTTATAATATCACAGATGTCCCATAAGATATATCTTAACTAAGATATCTAACACCATGTGTTAGCCTAGATATGGCAGTGAGAACAGCTTGGGCGGAACCCAACATGCCTGACCCGCAGGACCGGTGATTATGACACCTGGGCTGTGAAACCTCTCAACCCAGTCCTGCAGAAGGGTGGCTAGCAATAACTGTGGAAATAGGTGATGGGTGCACATTACTGTCCTTCAGGAAAAAAAAAAAAAAAAGAGAGACTGAAATGTGGGAGGCCATCCTCGAAGGTGATTTGAGTTATTCCCTGGCTGGGTGAGAGGTGCTTAGTCACAGCTGTGTCAGAGCCTTCCCCACCCTTTTCCAGGCCCAAGGGCTTGTCCATGCAGAGGCCTATCTGGCCACTGCCCTGAAGACCCAATCATAGTCCGTGACCTTGGGATTCTGCCCCCCTTAACCTTCATTGGATGGGATTTTCCCTGGAATTTAGCCTCAGGCAATTTTCCATTTGAATAGACTTAATGGCTCTCTGAACACCTTTCAATAGATCTTCAGGGGGCCACAGACTATGCCCCCCCCAATCAAAAAGACATCTCTAATGCAGTCTAAACCTTTTGAACATTCTCAAAGTTTCCAGGTAACTCATTAGGAAGGCAAATTTTATGAAATTTCCTTCCTAATTTGTCCCATGTATGTAAATTTGGTGAATCTTGGTCACAAAACCAAGGGCAAAATTCACCTACAACCTTTAAGAATTGTAGCAACTGAGTCTTTTTAACTTGCTTTCCCTTCTGAATAATTCTTGTCTCTAAAATAGTCAAATACATGTCTTTATCAGGAGAACTTGAATTCCTCTTTATTAAAATGTTTTTAAAGTCCCTTCGCTCCAAAAACTGCCTGGTACTTCCGTGACCCTAAAAATGTCACAAATTCTGTATTTCTATAGCGCGCTGCCTAACTCAACCTAGTCAATTTAACTCAAGAGCCTCACTTCAGGGCGCCACTTCTGTCACACGACCAGTGCTGGCTTCATTTAGAAGGTTCGATTCATGAGTAAATGCTAGGGGGTTTTAAATTAAAGAGACAAGACTCTCATTACCTTTAATATCAGCTCCAGGATGGCTTCTCCTACTAATGCCTCCAGCCACCTAATGCGGTAGCGAGATTTACAGAAGAGACTAGCGAGAGAGAGAACACGCCAGGGAGAGGGCTTTTATTGGGGAACAAAAAATTCCAGGGAAAATCCCATCCAGTGAAGATTAAGGGGGGCAGCATCCCAGGTCAGGGACTATGATTGGGTCTTAGGGGCAGTGACCAGACATGCCTCTGCATGGACAAGTCCCGGGACCAGGAGAAGGGTGGGGAAAGCTCTGACACAGCTGTGTCTAAGTGCCTCTCACCCACCCAGGGAGAAACTCAAATCACGTGAGAGGATGGCCTCCCACACTGAAAGGAGCACCCGAGGAAGATATGGGGTACAGAGGAGCTTCCTTCGTGAAGATCCTGGCTGAGCCCCCAGCTGGTACCTGTCTTGAAAATTAGGATGTGTCCTCGGCCCCCCAGTTTTGAAGAGTAAACACCCGAGAATCACTGAGGGAAGAGTAAAAAGTAAATTTTATTTAAGAGACAGAACAGAGAGAGAGAGTCCCCTGGAGAGGAGGGGACCCATAGCCAGTGCCCATCTGAGCAGAGAGGGGCCGTGTTTTGCCCCTTTGTAGCTTTTAGGTTTCCTTTCTTCTCTGGCCCATGTAACCAAAGGCAGGAAGAGTCATCCAGGGAGTGATGGCTTCTGTTGGAAAGTGCAGTCCTTCCCATCCTCTGGTGGTCTTAGCACCCAGTTGATGGGGAGGAGCTGTCTACTCTTTCCTGGTTTCTGATACTCAGCTACCTGTCCTTTGCCCTGCTCTCAGTGGTTGGCAGGCTGGTTGGATGAATGGATGGGAGGATGTAAAGTGTCTAGAGCAGAGCCTGATATGTGTAATAAATTGCAACTCTGTATTTCTGTTGTCTCAGAGCATACAAATACCTGATTTTCATCTACTGAAACATTTGTGTCTAAAATTTTCCACTATTTTAAACCATTTCAACACTGTACATGGAATACCCTTCTTCTCGTGATAGAAAAAGGAGACACATTGGATCACATTTTGCAGAGAACCCAACTACAAATGCACTCCGCATAAAACCTCCCACCTTGTGTTACACTGCCATGTGTTAATCCTTCAAAAACTAAACAGTTATTTGGCATAAAATGGAATAAACAGACATGCTTTTTCCTCAAGGACATTAGCTTTTCAGGTATGGAGTGGGAGGGGCTTCCACTACCATCACAATCTGTTTTGGATGTGA